CTGAAAGCCCAAACTCTGAGCTGAAAGCATGTGTGCTCGCACCGCGACAGCACACTTAAATCTGCGGTGTAGCCTTACTTTCTCCTTCGGCCGGCGCTGGCGAAGATGTTTGTGTCAGGCAGCACGACTCTGCCACGTGATTCCAATCGGTGTGCCTCGCGGTGCCTGCTCAGTAACTTCCAGAAATACTGTCGGCCGCCCTGGGAATTTCATCCCTCTTGCCGTCCTCGTCATCTCTATCATCGTCTCTCTTCGTACTCCCATCCTATAAGAGTGAGGCAGTCCTCCCCCTAGTGATCAGTGGGTAAACAGCACCAAAGGACAGAGATAGGAGAAACAGGGGCGGAAGAAATAAGATTGTGGAAACACGCTGTAATCAGCTGTCCGGAGCTTGTTGTTAGCCGCGGACCATCGACAGTTCATTCTCCAAAGGATTCATTGCATGTTCACGTCGATGTCGTTCAACCTGAACAGTCAGCAAGCCTGGTTTGTCAGCATTCAGGGAATGGGACGTTCCGAGTTGCGACAATTCATCCACAAGGCCACAGGGAGGAAAACCATACGCGGGCCAAATTGGCCTAACTGCGGTCTACATCATCCAACAAGTTTCTCCACAGAAACTAACCCGACCGAAGAGCGACTTGTGATTGGAAGGGCGACGCGACAGACTTTACGAAATGGCCGATGACAGGCAGGGCGAGACGACTGGAAAAGTCGCCGGAGCCACTCGGCACCCTAGCAGGCCGCAGACAGCAGAACAGAACAATCGTGGAACAACTTTGCCTTTGCCGAGTACCTTATTCCCGCAAGCTAGGTCATCTCTCGCGCGTTGAGCCGTGAGCACAAGAGCAGAGGAAAGGTGAGCATCCACAAGTCCCATTGACAGTAAGATACCTAATTAACCGACCCCTCTAACGAAAGTACCAGGCTTGAGTAGGAAATATCCCGCCGAACACCCCGTGGCTTGCGCCGGGCATCAAAAGCTACCTGGATGGTACGGATGTTTACCTAAGGCAAGGCAACTCGTACAGTCGTATCCGTACGTACGGACTACCTGCTGCCAGAAAATCCCTCTTTTCCTTCCCATGCGTGACATGCTGGAAAGCGCCGGGAAGGGATGGGTACCTATGCGGGCTTTCCTCGGTCAACACGTACCGCGACTCCCGGTGTTTGACTTACATAAGCCCGGTGTTTTGGCGCGTCTGGCATGCGGCGCCAGATGCCCTGTGCTGCAGCTTTGGCGGAGTCTGTGCGCGGTTCTGGAAGACGACCGTGACAACACACACGGATGTATTTCACTCAACCAATGACATGTTACTCGCAGCGTGATGCGTTCCATCTACTGCTGCCCCCCGTTTGAATGTGTGACTAGTTTGTCACCGGCAAACCCAACCCAACATTTGGAATTGGAGAAGAGGCGCTTTCAACGTTGCAAATCTGTTCATTCTTTACTAACGTAAGGTAGGTTTAGTGTAGGCGGCTGTCAATATCGCATGATGGAGCGGTAGTCCGCGCGCCCCTCGGTCCGCACCAATGAGTTGACTGTAACGTTGCCCAGTCTCTCTTGTTCAAGATGGAGCTTGCATTGGCGAGTGCTCAGTGTGGTTTCATGCGAAAAGACCCTTTGGAAAGCATCAAGTGAAGACTCCGAGGCTATCGACATGCCGGCTACGACCGATTTACGAACCTATTTTCTCCAAGCAGTTCCTGTCACCACCCATCATACTCGTTTTCTATAGAGGATATACGGAAACGGAGAACGGGTGAGGTATGGTTGTGATAAGGCACTTGATCCTTACATATGAAGGACCAAGTCGTTTACTGAAGTGAACCCAGTACTCCGATCACGATATTGTCATTGAGACTCCAGTTCCAATGGGGTCAAGATCTGCAGAATGAATCATGAAGCCATTATTTGAATGTGGCAGTACCTGTACCGCTGACGGCTGATTTATATACTCATCACTCAGTCGACCCTTGTGGTTCGAGGTATGCGACAGGCATCCTCACAATCATCATGAAGACTTGAACAACTTCCCACCCTTCCAGACGTGAGTAACATTCTCCTTGTCCGTCAAAATCCCAATATCCTCCAGCGGATTCCTCGCAACAGCAATCAGATCCGCATCATACGCTTCCCTAACCTGCCCGCTCAACGGCGCCATCCCCCCCAAGACCTCAGGCGCGTTCGCCGTCCCAGCCTCAATCGCCTCCAGCGGCGTCATACCGTTCTTCACGGCCCAATACAGCTCCCGCGCATTCTTCCCGTGCGCCAACGGCTTCGTCCGGTCGCTGCTCCACGTGTCCGTCCCGAGCGCGACCTTGACGCCCCTCCCAATGGCGAGCCGATACGAGTCGGAGGCCCTCTGCACGAGCTTCACCAGTTTCCTCGCCAGCGGCGGCGGCAGCTGCGACGGGTCCGCGGCCAGCGTCATGATGGCGTGCTGCGTCGGCACGAAGACGGCGTCCCTTGCGAGCATGAGGTCGACGGCCTCGTCGTCGAGGTAGCACCCGTGCTCGATGCTCTTCACGCCCGCGCGCAGCGCGGCCATGATGCCCGCCTTGCCGATGGCGTGGGCGCCTACGGCGCGCCGGCTGCGGCTGGCCTCGGATACGATTGCCTCCAGCTCCTCGTCGGAGAATTGCCTGTCTTCCGGGTCGTCTAGGAGGCTTAGCACGCCGCCGCTGGAGCAGATCTTGATGCAGCGCGCGCCGCGGCGGACGAGGAGGCGCACTTGTTTCGTGCAGTCCTCTGGCCCGTCGGCGATGGAGCAGGCGCCGCCGCCGCACTTCGCAAAGTCGAGGACCGTTTGCATGGGGAGGGTGTGCTGGTCGCCGTGGCCTCCGCTGATGGACATGGCTGCGATGGAGGAGTAGACGTTGGGTCCTACGAGGCGGCCCGAGTCGATCCCGGGACGGAGGTCGCCGGCGTAGCCGCCCAGTTCGCGGACGGAGGTAAACCCGGCCATGAGGGTGGCCTCGAGGTCCTGGACGATGACGGCGCCGATGAGGGCGTTGGAACCGGGGAGGACGTTGAAGATGCCGTCGCTGAAGCCGGTGACGACGTCGATGCCGAGGAAGTGGACGTGGACGTCCCAGAGGCCTGGCATGAGGACGGGGACGTGCAAAGGGGTGAGGGACCGGTATTTTGGTGGGAGGCTGTCGCGGGGGCCGACGTGGATGATTTTGTCGTCTGAGATGGCGACGGCGGCGTTGGGGACTGGGGTGCCGCGGCCTGGGATGAGGAGGTCGGTGGTGATGAGGGTGATGGCTGAGTCTGCTTCTGGCTCCTCTTGTTCTTGCGGCGAGGCCATTGTCTGGGTTGGGCGGGTGTTTGGCGGCGGGATGCCCGTTGGTTGTGATGTCGATACGGACTGCTGCATCTCGTGAGGTCGATGTGGTACGCGCATCTTGAAGACTTGCACGCCGTTGAAAGGTTAATAGATGTTCAGCTAGCAGATAGCTTTATTCTTGAAGCAAAAGCACTAGCAGGCGCACGCAATTGAGCTGGAGCTTCAAACAATTAGCTAAGTTGAAGCTACTTGGGATGAACTTAAGTATGACTTGCGTATCTCATACCGGTATCATGAAAGTCTAGGTTCGGAGCGTCATCATTCAGTCAAGTTTAAACGTGTGGTTTGGTGAGCGCGGGGTAGCGAATCCTGACCATTCTGCATTGCTGTAATCCACCATGTTACCAACCTCTCCCTCTCTCCACCCCGGTATCCGGGAAACAAGCCATGGTTCCAGATATAGGCGCTTGAGCTGATCAATGGATTGTCGCTGCATATACATGCAGGGGATGCGATATAGCGGCACGGTCTGATAAATCGACCTTCCAAAAGTAGGAACGCAAGGTAAGCTCAGCTTGAGACCAATGGGCGCCCTTTGCGTTGGCGTTGGATCCTACAAAGCTATTTCCCTCACCTCTATCTATCCTGTCCATTGTCGTTTTTGGCTTTATACTCTTCATGACCGACGTTGTCTCCGTGGTTCTCGTCTTTGTTATTAGCTTAACCTAGGTAGACCGGCGGGGATGTGTAGCAGGCATTTTGATATAATTACTACCTTACCTACCTTCAGATAGGTAAGGTATGTCAGCGGTACCTCCCATGAGAGTATAGCTGTATTTAATCCATATACTATGCATTTATTTATTATAGCTACTAGTCTTGTTCATGTGAATCATTCACCAATACGTTAATGCTGGACGCTTGTACTCGATAGATGATACCTATCGTCCTCGTTATCCTTATCATGTTGAAATGGTCTTGATAAAGAGGGAGTAGCCTGGGGCTGGGAGGATGAAGACCCGGTCATTTCCTCTGAAATTCAATCATGATACGGATATATCTAGTCTCGAATGCAGGATTCCGTTTCTCCAGCAACATATCGGTCTATTGGTTGAACATATATGTAAATTCGGGGGTTTAAGCCAAGCCACTCCGTCTTCCAGTCCGAACAGCACACCTCCGTCGAAGACTTGAACTACTGGCTCTGGAAAGTACATCTGGTCTGCTGAATGAACCGGAGGTTCTCAATTATCTTCAGATGTCATGAGAAAGACGTGGAGTGAATTATCTTAGTGTAAGCATCTTTCGATGTACCAGAGATGCAGTCCACACGTCATCACAGATATTGCGCGAAGAGCAACTGTTATCGGGCAACCTTGTCCATCTCATGTCTCCACATAAGCTCGACCGCAAGCACCTACGACAAGGGGTACACCTCTAACAGCATCTAAAGCTTCAACCACACCACAACCCTCACACATACGCAACTCACCTCCAAAACCCTCACATCACCCTTCCCCCATCAAGTCCACCATATCAAACACCCCCCTCCCAGAGATGAACACCCTAGCCCGTACCCTCCTCCGCCGCATCGCACACTCGACTCCGCGACCTCTCCCCTCAGCATACTCACCCCGGCTCTCAAAACCATCAACAGCATCCTCACCACCCTTAGAAAGCATCATCCAGCAGCGGCACCAGAGGACAATGTCAACCTCACCCGCCGCCGCGGCGCCCACGCCGCGCTTCTCCAAGGGCTCCGATGAGCCTTCCCTCTCCTCGACGCTCGAGACGCTGCTGGGACAGGGACGGGGCTGGGCGCTGGTCAATGACGGTGAGGCTGTCGAGCGGAGCTTCAAGTTCAAGAACTTTGCAAAGACGTGGGTGCGTAGTGTTATCCCATGTCATCTCTTTCTTGATGTACCTCTCTATGCTATGTACTACAATTCTTCATGTTGAAGTGAAACGTCTACAAAAAGAAAAGAAAAGAAAAAAAGTACGGGAACGACTGCTGACGAGTATAAACAACAAAAGGATTTCATGACGGCCGTGAGCTTGCAATGTAAAATCCACAACCATCACCCAGAGTGGTCAAACGTATGTCCAACCTCCCTCTCACCTCCCCCACCCAACTTGCGCAGATACTTGAGAAAGAATGAGACTCTCTCATCCAAAGTCATGAGCAAGGCTAAAAGCAGAGGAACAGGTCTACAACACAACTTTTATCCGGTGGACGACACATAACCCCAAGGGCCTGTCGGACAAGGACCTCAAGCTCGCTCTCATCTGCGATGCGCTGGCCAAGGACTTTGGCGAGGTCGAGGTGCCGGCTTCCGAGGCCACCGCCGGCGGCGGAGAGGCTGTCGGCTGCGGTATCCGGGGCCTGGCTGATAAGGCGGCGGGTACGGCTGGAGACTGTTGTACGCCGAAGAAGTAGTATGTTGTCTAAGCCGTGGCCCGGACGGTCAGTCTCACTTCGGATCCAAGGTCCCAATTTTCTGGCTGGGCTTCTTCCTGTACAACATTGTAAACACATGTGGAATATACAAAACACGTAACGTGGACTATTAGAAGAACGAATGTTGTGCTATGATTAAGTAATCTACTACAATGCCAGTTTTATGGGCGGCCTTCCCAATATATACGACAGAATTCGCATAAGTGGTTCGTCTTTTTTTCGCACAACCGTCAATACCTCTTTCAAACGCCGCTCCAATGATAATTACGTGACTTTGATGAATGGCCTCAGTTGTCGAGGCCCGTGTCGTGTCGCTTTCCTCGCGGTTTTCCTTTCCTGCCGCGTTCTATACATCGTATCATGAGACACCCCTCCAGCCGGTGTGTCTAGCAACGCACTCAAACACCGTTCATGAGCGCGTCCATCGGTCTCTGTCTCAGGGCGCACACAAGGCCCGGTGTTTGGTCATGTGCGTTCTTCATGTCGCAAAAGACTTTACAGTCGTAGCGAGAGTGGATTTACTGAGACTTTTGCGCCTTGATGGCCTGGATCTTCTTCTCGCGGCGCTTCTTGTGGGCCTCGAGGCCGGCCTCGGTGTCGAGGCAGTAGTCCCACCAGCGGAAGCTGGAGGCGTAGTTGCCGATGAACTTCTCGTGGTGAAGGTCGTGGTGGTCGGCACCGGCCCAGAAGGGCAAGAAGTGGCGCAAGCTCCAGGGGAAGTCGTAGCCGCTGTGGGCGTCGATGGCCTGGAAGAGGCGGAGGACGATCCAGGCGTACATGGTCAGGAGGTGGAGGTCGCCGGTGAGGGTGACCCAGAAGATGGGCGAGCCGACGATACCGATGCCGAGGAGCATGACTTCGATGGGTGAGGCGTATTCGGCAGCGAGACCGAAAGGCGCAGAGTAGTAGTGGTGAAGCTTGTGGATCGCCTTGTAGAGAGGGCCGTAGTGCAGGGCGCGGTGGAACCAGTAGTGCCAGGTATCCTCCATGACGAAGAAGATGGAGATTTGCATGGCCATCTTCCAGAGAGGCGGGAAGGGGACGTTGTATTCCATGCCGCACCACGTGGCGAGGGGGTGGAAGAGCCAGATCTGGGGAAGTTCGACGGTGAAATGGCTGATGAGGACGACCATGGCGCAGTCCCATTGCTCCTTGAGTGTCGGCATTTTTTGCTATTCCAGAGTCAGTGAAGGAGTCCAGAGTATGATGACGGGAGGATGCGGCAAGGCTTACGGGTTGGATCTTGTACTTGTGGAACCAGGGGATGAGGTCGAAGATGATAAAGGGCAAACTGCGGCCAAAGTAGACGGTCTCGTGCATGACGAAGCTCATGATGCCAGTGGCAAGGGTGTCGTTTTGCATCCAGAGATACCAAGCCTAGAAGGAAGGTGTCAGTCGCATCGCAAGGGCAATGAGTGGCACGCGATGAGGTGTGAACATACGGCCCAGAGGCGCTCAAAGTAGTTGAGCTGGACATTGTATTTGGAGACCTCCTCGAGAACACTGAAGTACGGTTGTGTGTGGTTGAAGGCGGTGTTGATGACGGTCGAGTTGCTGTTTCGCACAAACCAGGTCAGTGACTGTTTGCTTCAAGATCGTGCTTGTAGACTAAAGGGGGCGCCGTGGATCGGGGAGAGAAACGGGGCAAAAACTCACATGAAAGCGGCCATGATGGCGGGGAGCGCAAGTTTGCGACTCTTGTGCTTCAACAAGTGAGGAATTACAGATGTTTATGGGAAAAGCCAACGTTGGCGAAGAGGAAGCTGAGAGGGAAAGAAAAGGACAGTCGCAACTCCTTCAACAATGCGCCGTGGTGGTGTTTAGGTGGCGACGGGAGGTTTAAGGGAAAAAAGGACGGCAGGCGGGCAAGGTCAAGGGTCCAGGGCCGGGTCTTGTTGAGGTTTTATCCATGGATCATTTCGGTTGACGGGGAAAGGAAATGGCACCTGCGTCTTGGTGCTTGTCAGTCACCAGAGAGAGAGAAAAAAAAATACTTCTATTACCTTAACGTTAGGTTAGTTCTGAAATTGTGCTATGAAAACGCCCCTGTGCATCTCTCTCTCACCCTTTCTGGGCGACAGCGTGGGGACGTGGATTGAGGATTTGCCCATTCTTGTGTCATGGGCCAATGAGAAGCTGCATCTGGAAATCGAACCATGCAGCTCGTGGGTCCTTCCGTCTTCCGTGGTGGGCTTTGGCCAGTAGGAAGCAGGCGTGCCCTGGCGATTGGGTCGGGCGGTGTGCGAGATTTCGGGAGGCAAAAGGGTGTGTGACAGCTGCGCCAGGCGTTGGCTCTTCCCTCTCGCTGCCAATCGTAGGGGGGCCGAGGGGGGAAAAAGCTGAACAGACGGGAGGCACGGGGCATGGAAACATTCATGGATGGGGACAAAGCTCCTTTTTTCTTCTGCTGTTTCCGAGCTTCCATACTTCCATCAAAGCAAGCTGAGGTAAGGTAAGGTACGTTCCGTAGAGGTAAAGCACTTGAGATAAGGTGGCGGCAGTCTAATTCAATGTCAGCCTTTTGAACTCACTCAGCTCTCAATTGGAGTCTCGAGCTGCGATCCAATGTCAGCATCATTTCTGAGTAGAAGCACTTATGCATGAATACTGCGCCCTGTCGCGGGCAATCAAAGGAGGCCGATATCAGTCACCCTCCAGGTGGGCAGGGCTGTCTTATCGCCATGCATGGAGCGCCTCGCACCTCGACTTTTTGTCACCTTTTGCGCGGGTACGTACCCTCCCTCAACACGAATACGATGAAGGAGGGGCACGTTTCCAGGTCTGCGCGTCGCACGTCTTTGGCAAAGGAATTCGCTTTGGCCTGGCGCTACCCGTTTGCCCCCATTACCTCGAACACAGATGCTAAACAAACCACAAGTCAGAACAATCTTCAATGACAGTGACATGCTCCACGCCTCCAAATCCACTACATCCGATTGCCGATGAGATCCATCTGACCTCCTCCGCGGCGTGGCCCTGGCCCAGCTGTCAAAAGACCCGCTCCAGCACGGCAAAGCATGGGGTGCCGTGGATGCTCATGTCAGAATGGCGTGTTCCGGTCATGCTTGATCCGATACAAGGCCACCTCAAATTGTCTAGCTCGGTATTGGCTGGCAGTCGTGAAGCATATGAATGTTCAATCGACAACATGCTAAAAGTCGTCATCGTCCCTGTATGTTAAGCACAAGTTGAATATGGGAGCTCATGAAGCTTTCTCGTCCTACATAAAGCTAGACTGATAGCCCTGGGTCCTTATATCACCTAAGTCTGCGGAGGCCATGAACCTATTATCCATCAGCTGGATAAGAAGACGGGTCGAGCTTGCTCCTACCTTACAATGTACATCTAAACGCCACTATATCTGCAGCATTCATATGCTGAATAGTCATGTGCGGGTACATGGCTCATAGACGCGATCAAGGCGCAATACACGCCGAAGACCGTTGGTCCAGCCAACTTTTTCTCTTCTTGAAATGAACCAGGAGTCAACTCTACGGGGATTTTGTATAGCCATTTGCGGCTACACATCAAGATGAGCGTTGTCTATCATGAGTATAGGGTGAGTTACGACCTCTCGTGGCTTGACATTCACATCTCAGCATCGACGAGGTGTTCACTTGCGAGTGACGAACGAGCTGGGTCCTTGGCGACCCCGCGACAGATAGCCGTTACTGAATCGGATCTGGTAAGTGCATCCGTAAAGATATCGTTCAGATTTGGAAATCATCTGCTTCCTGACAACGCCTCTTTGTTTGTTCAACGATCTGAGCTGGATGGCTTGGCAGGCATACTGTCGGATCGAAACTGCCTGAACACGTCGAAAGGACCTAGAAGAATGGGATCTGCCTGTGAGGAGCTCGAATAGCCGAGGCAAACGAGACTCCTTTTCTACAAGACCGGATCATGCCTTTTCATGAAAGCAGACGTAGCATACACGGCCTTCCTTACCTAGGATGTTGAAGATTAGCTCATCTTCACCGATACCACTCCAGCGGTCCAGCTCCGTCAGCGGCGCTGGCTGACTAAGGCACACAAGGGACCCCACCTGTCATCCCACGTTCTCTCCAGTCGCCGCTCACCGCGTTGTCGGCTGCAGGCGCTCGCCCAAGTTGCCCGGGGCATTCGCTTACCTGATGACGTCTAACCCAAACTTCTACTGCATTCTTCCATCAAATCCATCCTCACACGACTGCAATCCTCACAGCCTCGAGTGTTCAACGCAAAATCCAGTCCATGAAAGTGGAGGAGGAGTGCTCTCTGAGTGAGAAGCTATAATGTCTGTTGTTGCCGAGTCAGTATTCCGTCCCATCTTTCCTTGACTTCCCGTCATCCCAAACAAAACATTTGAATGTTGACATCAACCCTTCCCTGCACGCAGCCAAGTTCGCCGCTTAGATGCGCAGCTGGATCGGATTCCGCTGGGTCTGAGCCTATCTCAAGAAGATGGCGAGCTGTCTGCCGAAGAACATGGCATTTTTCACTCAGCCACCGTAGACGCACTGTCGTCGCCAAGGATCGAGGAGCTACTACACATTGTTAGGGCTCTGTCCACCACCTCAACCTCGCTTTCCCTCCTCCCCGCCCAGAGGATTCGCTCTCTACTGCAAGACTCCAAACTTGCAGAATGGGACTTCCAGGCGGAGCAGGATGACGAGGCTAGCCGAGGCCCGTACCAGTCGGAGATCGAGTGGCTACTCGTCAGCAAGGCTACCGTTCAGACTTACGGTATCATTCTGAACACACTTCTGGACCAGATCATCCCTCTCAGTGATGAGATGTGGTACTGGGACGAGGTTTTGAGCTCGTATACTTACAGCAGTCTCTACACGGTCCAGACGTCGCCGTTGCGTTTGTGGGCCTTGACCAAGGACGTCTATCACGAAAGCAAACACCGCATTCGAAATCTTAGCCAAACGCCGGGAGATATTGTCGCATCGACACGGACAGGATTATCGCAGCAATGGAAACAATTTTACGGCATCGTACGGGACAGCATTCGGGACTCATCGATCACGACCCTTCAGCGCAAGGTCCTATCGCCTGTGGCCCTCAGCCGTGGCGAGGCACGGAGGAAACTGGCACATCTCAGGCGCTTGCGGGATATGATCGCAAGCGGTCTTGGTGTACTCGTTGACGAAGGTTTGACTTTTGGAGGAGACGACGACGACGATAAGAGCGAAGCGGGCGTCAACAGCCATGACTGGAAAGGTGTGGTTGAACGAAGCGTGGCTCTCATGGACATGGTTCTTAAGGAGGCCTTAACCCTAGAGTCTGGCGTCAACGAATTCGAGGACAAGGTGTTCGCTGGAGTCGAGGAGGACCCCGAGCTTAGCATTCACATCGAGGACGCCAACGCTCTGGAGAAGCCTTCCGTGCTCGCTAGACGTCTCCTCAACCTCCTGGATAACGGCCTTCCCAACCACGTCATGTCTGCGCAGCTACTTGTTCGAGAGAACGGCCGTCCGTCAAGATTCATCCGATACTGGCTGCCTGCGACTGCAGCTCTGCTGTCCTCGACGACTGTCCTTCGACTTCTTGCCAATAGACGTGCAGAAATAATTAGCTGGATTCGGGACATTGGATCTACGATGCGAGACTTTTGGTTTAATTGGGTTATCGAACCGACACGCAAGATTGTTGGAACTATTCGACACGACACGAGCAGCGAGATCGCCATCATGAGCCGAGACAGCCTCAAGGCCGATCGGGAAAGCTTGGAGCGCATGGTTGTGGACTTTGCTTTGGATAAGCCTCACTTTGCAGGCGACGGCTCGTCCCTCACCGACGCCGAGATCGAAATCATCCGTACCAAGGTCAGCGAGGGAGACGTCACGCCGGTCTTGCGTGCATACGAAAAGGACTTGCGGACTCCCTTTGTTGGTGCGGTGAAGGGTGACCTCGTCCGATCACTGCTCATCCAGGTGCAGAAGACCAAGGTCGACCTAGAGGTGGCCATCAGCGGCATCGACTCTCTCCTCAAGAGCCAGGAACTGGTGTTTGGGTTTGTGGGTCTGACGCCTGGTGTGCTTGTCTCTATTGGCATTGTTCAGTACCTTCGCGGCATATTTGGTGCTCGCAAGGGAGCCCGCCAGAGCCGCAAGACTGGACAGAGCATCAGAGTGCTGCGCAACATTGACCGGATCTTTTCAGAGGCGACGCCGTCTCAGAACAACCTCCTCTCCTACAAGGACCATGGCCTCCTGTTGTGCGAAGTCCACGTGTTGCGCAACCTGATGCAGAGAGTGCTACCTCGCGACAGGCAGCGAGAGTTTCTCGAGGATTTGGATGATCTTGCAAACCTGAAGGGAATTCAGGTGCAGGTTAGAGCTTTGGATCGCATTCGCTGGGCGTACGCCAGGTGGCTACAGTAAAAAGAACGAACAACGGAGAACCTCGGGCGCAATAATGATTCGCATGGATACACGGTCTTACGGATTTGAGCTTCAGCATTCAGGTTACTTTACTACGCACAGCGGGAACGGCCTTTTTCGGTGGAACCTGTACCACAAATGTACACCACTGGAGGCATTCATGAATTGTCAACGGAGCATCGCACATTGGTACCGGAGCTTAGCAGGCGGCATTTGTCACCAGGAAAGGTGTTTAGACCAAAAGTTGAATTGAAGCGCAATTGAACGGGTGACGTACTGACAACGAGTGAATGCGAGGGAGACTTTACAACGTCTCTTGTGACCATGGAACGGCCGCCACCCAAGATGCTCGGGCGACGGACGCGTGACCCAGTTCTGGCTGGATCTGGACCTGGACCCTGAGGCGAGACAGTGCGATGAAGTTTGGTGTGGCTTCGTTGGTAGCCTCCTGAGTCCTGATAAGCAAGTCTGGTGAAGGCGGGAGACCGAGCACATTTGGCAGCAAAAGGGGTGTAGTGCCATGACAGAGACAACGCATCAAGTTTTGAGATAGCAACTAGGTAGGTTGGTGGACATTTAATATCTGGTGGCTGAGGAGGTGTTGGCAGGTCGCTTCCTTTGGTGGGCAAGCCTTGCATATCTACCCAGGACGGATCGTCCTTTCACGGTTGTCATCATGGGAGGACGCTGAAGTGCTGTGTATCCCCCCAAAACTGCACTCGGTTTTCTGCAACAAGGTGCTTGGATCGACCAGGGAAGTTTTGCTTCTTTTGACCTTTCGCTCCCCTCCGACGCAGATCCGACGTCGTCGCGTCTTCTCCCCCTTGGCGGGCACTATGCCTTGGGCAACTCACTACCGTGAGTCGTGACTACCGGTACCTAAGTTATCTCATACACCGCGGCCTAGTGCCAGAAGCAGTTGATTTGGATCATGGACCACTGCGGGTATCAACAGCGGACTTCGTCAGAACACTTTTCGCGGCGGGTATCACGTTGCAGTAGATACCGACTTCCCAACCCAAGACTGCTGGTACCCTTAGGTACCTGGTAGATAGCCTACGAAACCCATCGCCAAGTCACCAAATCCCTCAGGCCCTGTCCCAGCACAAGCACAGGTCAAGTCGGATCGGTCAAGCAAGAGGCCGGGTCCAGTATCTTACCCCAGACGGCAGGCGCCACAGTTCACCCCCCAAAGAGACAAGCGATTCGACGCTACGTATGAGATACGTACCTCCTCACAGTGTGGTGGACTGTACACCGCAGTGCCTCGCCTCGTCCGCAGCCCAGCATTTACGTGCCTACCATCACTATTCGTACATACTGCTACTATTACTACCTACCTGACTACGACAAACTACCTAGGCCCGTTTCCTACCAACATCTCAATCGCCTCTCCCCCAACCGTTGCCTGAATCCGACGACCAGATCACGACAATCGCCTCTCTTTCGCATCCCTCCGATCTTAACTTGCCTGGCACGTACGTCGCCCGGAGCAGCAATACCACCCCTTCAGATCGGCCCCCTCGCTTTAGTCCCCCATCAACACCCGCCGCCAAAATGTCGAGCAACCGCAACTACGACTTCCTTGTACGTGTCGAATGCCGGTTGCCCCTCCTTACCATCGTCCCGCCCTTTCCCTCGAGATTACCCTCACTCCCTATGAACTCCGTCCTTTTGAAGATTCCCCAAGACCAGACGCTGCCTTTTTTTCTTCCGAAATCACTACGGGGGGCAAACATGACATCGTGTTCACATATGGCTGACCAGCACCCTAGATCAAGCTTCTGCTGATCGGCGACTCGGGCGTAGGCAAGTCCTGCTGCCTGTTGCGCTTCAGCGAAGACTCCTTCACGCCGTCTTTTATCACGACCATCGGTATTGATTTCAAGATCCGCACCATCGAGTTGGACGGCAAGCGTGTCAAGCTTCAGATTTGGGATACCGCCGGCCAAGAGCGCTTCCGCACAATCACCACCGCCTACTACCGTGGCGCCATGGGCATTCTCCTCGTCTACGATGTCACCGACGAGCGCTCCTTCAACAGTACGTCGCTATCCTCTCTTACGTTGCGACTCACTTGCCAGACTGCTGTCGGTTCCATCTCGACCCGTGTAGTGGAGTTGTCATTACCAAAGCAGCCCTCGATGATAGGAGCCTTTCTACAAGGAGAGAAGACTAACGTGTACCCCTTCCACACAGACATCCGCACCTGGTTCGCCAACGTCGAGCAACATGCCACCGAGGGCGTCAACAAGATTCTCATTGGCAACAAGTGCGATTGGGAAGAGAAGCGTGTCGTCTCAACCGAGCGCGGTCAGCAGCTCGCCGACGAGCTCGGCATCCCCTTCCTCGAGGTCTCGGCCAAGAGCAACATCAACATCGACAAGGCCTTTTACTCCCTCGCCGCCGATATCAAGAAGCGCCTTATCGACAACCAGAAGAACGAGCAACCCGCCGCCTCGGGCGTCAACGTTGGCGAGTCAAGTGGAGCCGGCGGAAAGTGCTGCTAAAGTAACGAAACGGGGCTGGGCACGGGACGCTCGACTTTGTGCTGTGTGTATTTCCGAAAGCAAGATTTGATTACTTTGTGTCGATTCCGCGCTGCCGCCGGGGGACAGCGTCGTCCTACAGAGGCACATGAGACGCGCATGAAAGGAGAGAGAGAGACATGGGCATATGGGGCTTCACAGCGGGTCTGCCCGCCGGAAAGGACACGCAGAGAAACTCGGTGAGAGAGGAGGACATGACAGGGGCCAACCGAGAGGCAGGGCCGGGGCTTCCGGCGAGGCAATTGGCCGAGAAGGGAAAAACTTCGTGATGGGCCCGACCGGCTGGGCGTGCGTTTGTGTGTGTGTGCTCGATGACGAGACCACGACGGCGCTCGCTCACCCACCTACCTGTCCTAAGGCCTCCTACGGGGAAGAAAGTACTGTGTGGTTATTTGTCATGTGGTTTCTTGCCGACAGCGCCTTTTTATCAAACCCCCTAGAGAGCAAATATCTGGTCTGGAGTTTCGGGTTTTTATTTCTGGGTTTTTATAATACATCCTTTTTTTTTCTCATGTGCTTCCCAATATGCCCGATGACGTCCTACATTCGAGGGTTTCAGCCTCTTGATATATATGCTTCTGGTATATCTTACAAGAGGGAACAGAGCCCATACTATACACTTTCATCGATGGTCGCTGCCACCTGCGATATCACCACACGACATGCGTGTTCACAATCACGCTCTGGTCGTTTGTCAGGACGAGCTCCTTTTTGTGCCACGCGCGAACGAAACGCCGTGCTTCGTGCACGTCCGGGAACGAGACCACAAACCGGGCAGACGGGGCCGTCTCGTCCAGCGCGTCGGGGGTGCCTCTCCGTCCCGAGTCAGCCTCCATCACCGCCGGGGCCTCGTCGACGTCGTCGTACACGAGGCCTTCCGCGCTCTCCGCGGGTGATTCTGCCGCCGTCACCGTCCTGCGGTCCACCTTGGGCGCAAAGTAGGCACGCAGGTGCTGCACCGGCCAGCCCAGGTTGCGGTCGCGGGCGTCCCGGCGGATCCAGTGGGAGAGGCTGCGCTGATCGAGGGTGCCGCCGTCGAGGGAGAGGACGACGTGGGCGTTTGCGCGCGGGGGCGGTTCGGGGGTCATGCTTAGGAGGCCTTGGATGCTAAAGGTCTCGAGGCGGGTTTCGGTTGCGCGGTTGAGTTTGTAAAGGTGTAGACTTAAGGGCGTCTTGGATGGGGCCGCGAGGCTGAAGGTTGATGTGTTGGAGGGCGCTGAGACGGATGATGTTTCTGCTGAGGTCAGGCCGGCGGCGGGGGACGCGAGGGAGCGGCCGGCGAGGGCGTGGAGGCGCTGTGCTTCGCGCTGGTAGGCTGCTGCCGCGGTGTGGGAGTCGAAGAGGATGAAGTAGCGGTCCATGGGCTCCAGGGTGCTGTAGTCGTAGGCCTGCATCACCTTGCGGATGGAGGCGCTCCAGCCGTCGAGATGTTGGCCCTGGGGACCGATGCGGTAAAAGTCAGTCTCCAGGAGGTTCGGGCTGGCGTTGGAGAGGATGAGCATGGCTGGGCGCTCTGCCTTGGCCGCCGCCGCTTCAGGGGACGCTGCTGCAGAGGAGGCGGTGTTGGCGGCGGCGTCGTCTGTCGGGAGCGAGTCGATCCAGGACTGGAGGTCGTTGTGATCTACAGATCTCTCTTCGGATAGATTCTGATCGGCCTGGGAGTTCCTCAACAAGGCTTCAACGCCTCCTTTCCCAAATGCTGCTCCCGCCGTTGCCCCTGCCGTTGCCCCTGCCGTCGCCCCTGCTCCTCCCGATCCCGGGGCCGAGAAGAGCTCGTTGAAAATGGAGGAGCTCTCTCCGTCGACGGCCTTGTCATTTTTCTCCTTTTCCCGAGCCCGCGACTCGAAAAAGTCTGCAATCTTGCCGGTCGCTTCGCCTCCCGTCTTGCCTGACCTGTTCTTGCGCTCCAACTGTCTCATTCTGTACTCTGTCGCCTCGGACTTTTCCGGGTCGGTGGAGGTCATGAACCGGACCTTGACCTTGCCTTTGCTGTCTCCATTGGCCTTTTCACTGCTGCGTCGATTCGAGGAGGAGGACACATCATCGTTTGGGAATAGCTCCTCGAACAGCGAAGGCGACTTTGACTTTGGCTCCTCCCTTCTTGACGGTTTCTTCTTGCCCCATTGGTCCGGGGAGCTGGGTTGCGGTTGGGCCGAGAAGAGCCGTGTGCCGGGGCCGTGATCTGCTCGAAAGGACTGTCGGAGTGTAGGCGCGGTCGTGTGCGGGAACGACAGCTGCTGCAACAGCGGGAGCCGTCGTCGGGCTGCGATTGTGGTCATCCGGGCAACTCTTCGGGTCGAGCTGCGCAGCCCTCGGAGGTCAGCCCATTGCATGGGCCCGGAAGGGGTTGGGCTTCGTCGGGTCGGCGGACAAGGGGATGAAGAGAGAGACTCCTCGTAGTTCGGTTGGCGTGTGTAGTTGAGACTTTTTGTGGTGGAAGTAGTGAAAGTTGTTATAAGTGAAGGAAGAAGTTTAGACGCTGGGCCTGACTTTCGTCCGGGCTGTGATGCGACGTTGGACAGGGTAGGTACGTACCCTTGACTTGAGCTGGTGTGGGGCCGCTGTCTGGAGGAAAATTGGTCGGGCGTCGGGACTTGGTGGAGGGAGGAGGGGTCTTTGAATTTTTCATGGCTCACTTACACGAAATATTGGTCGACTCACTGAGCAGACGTATCTACTACACGTCACGAGCTCAAGGAGAATACAGAAATTCATACAAATTACTTGGGAGATTTCTTAGAGACTTCGATACTTTCGGAACTACTATTTGAATAAAACTCGGTATTGTGGCTGTCATAGTGGCTTCTTAAAAACTCATCGTTGCCGGATCTTCTTGTCGCAGGGTTTTCTCGATGCCATACCCCGGTCTGGGCCCTACACCATTGTCAACTCGTGTGGGCAGTGACGGATGAAGAGCAAACGTCGTCTGAACAACACCGATTCCTTCGACAGGCCACAAGAGACGAAAGATTCGGGAACAGGAGGGTTTCGACTTTTCTTTCTCTTGATCTGAAGTTTCTCTAGCGTCTCTCATCGGATCACACTGACCCGCGACCTGCTTGTCGAGCGGGCTGAGCACTCAGTGAGAGACTCACCGGGGTCAAGACGCCGGCAACCAGGGGCCCGATACCAACACTGCCCGCCGGCTATAGCACAAAAGATGGTCAAGGCAATCGACGGAAAGGTCCGCCCCTTGGCGCCCTTTGACAAAACACTCGAAAAGTCGACGCTCAAGGGCGCCTCGAGAATCTACGTCAACCGGGACTCCCTGATTCAACTCACAGGGAGCGTGGACAACGGCCGGCGCTGCGTCGTCACGAGGACCGCCGCTCAGGATGCAGCCAACTCTGCCGGGGCGGCAGCGGAGCCGCTGCGTCGGGAGGCCGCGCTCTGGACGCTCGCGGACAAGAATATCAGCCCCAACATCATACTCATGAGCGAGGCGTACCGCAGGGCCTGCGGGTTCGAGCTGGGCGACCAGATTACGATCACGATGACGGAGAGTCCTGTGGTGCCTGACGCTGAGTCGGTGAGCGTGCTGCCTGAGACGACGTCTGAGAGGGAAAAGGCCGAGATCAGCGCATGGGAGGGGGCGTGGGTGGGAGTGATTCGGTTTTATCTTGGTGAGTTATTCAGTTCCTCCTTTTCGCATTCGAATTTCACTGTTAGCAGTCTTTTCTGTAAAATTCCACCAATGCCTCTATGCGCAACAGCATACCCACTCTCTATACTCAGGGTGAAATGGCCCTCTTTATCATTTCAGCATTGATGTGAGACTGATTCTAACTATTTTCAGGACGAGCCGAACAAGTCTTTCCGGGCATGAAATTTGAGTGTGTGGCGCCTGGGTCAAAACAAGTATTCAAGATCACATCCGTAGACGGCCAGACAAATAACGTAGCCCGTTATGTCGTCTCAACAATACCCACCATCGTCTCGGGTGAGGAAGAGGAGCCTGTCGAGGAAGTCCGCGACGTGACGAAACTCGTCGTCCCAAATATCCCCGGATTACATGCGGAAGAAAAGAAACTGCGGAGCTTCCTGCGCGGCTTCAACGCAAAGTTCGTCTACAGGGGCCAGCAAAAATCATGTGGAATCGTCATCCACGGCGGACGAGGGACCGGCAAGTCGTACATCCTGAACCGGATAGCGAGTACGGGCTGGGGTCGAGTCTTCCGGATCGAAGAAAACGACAAGTCGTCGACGGTCGAGGAGGTCTTCAAGCAAGCCCGGACGATGCAGCCTAGCATCATTCTCATTGATGGCCTCCAGGCCCTGATTGGAAAGGACCGGGCAAACTCTACAGCCATCACCCAGCGGTTAGGCCAGCAGCTCGACCAGCTGGCCGAGGATGCTCTCAAGAACGGCACACTGCCAAAGGTCGTGGTTATCGCCACCTGTCTGGACTACATGACGGACGTACCTCCCGAGCTACAAAAGAGAACGAGATTCGAGCGGAACATCCCCCTCTCGATACCCAACGCAGAGGGCCGGCTCGAGATTCTCAAATCTTTTGAAATACCCATCCTACCAGAGGTCAAGGACGTGATGCTAGCCAAGCTCTCACAACAAACACACGCCTTCAACGCAAGCGACCTCGACAGGCTCATCGAAAACGCAATGATCATCTCAGCAGAACGCCTCGACCCAGACGAAGCAGGCTACGACGACGAGGCCCTGGGGCCCCCCTACCTCTCCCGCGAGGACCTCGAGCACGCCCTCCGCTCCACCAGACCAACAGCCATGCACGACGTGAACCTCAAGCCGCCCACGATCCACTGGCAGGACGTCGGCGGCCAGGAAAGCCTCAAGAACGCCCTGCGCAACATGATCACCCTCACAACGACAAACGACCCGACGGTCCAGAAGCTCATCCTCACACCGCCAAAGGGTCTCCTCCTCTACGGCCCGCCGGGTTGCTCAAAGACGCTGTCGGCGCAGGCCATGGCCACCGAGTCCGGCTTCAACTTCTTCGCCGTCAAGGGCGCGGAGCTGCTCAACATGTACGTGGGCGAGTCGGAGCGTGCGGTCCGGCAGCTTTTTGAGCGCGCGCGCGCCGCGAGCCCGAGCATCATCTTCTTTGACGAGATCGACTCCATCGGCGGCCAGCGTGCCGGTAATGGCGGCGGTGGCGGTGCTGCAAAGAGCCAGGGGGCCGTCAACATGCTCACGACGCTGTTGACGGAGATGGACGGCTTCGAGGCGCTGTCAGGGGTGCTTATCCTCGCGGCGACGAACCGGCCCGAGGCCATGGACCCGGCTCTCCTCCGACCCGGCCGCTTCGATCGGATCGTGTACGTTGGTCCGCCGGATGCCGCGGGGCGGGAGGCCGTGTTTAACTTGTACCTGCGCAAGCTCCCCCTCGCGGCGGACGTGGACGTGGCAGAGCTGTCGAGGTTGGCGGAGGGCTTCTCGGGTGCCGAGATTAAGCAGATTGTCAATGTGGCGACGGAGCCGGCGTTGAGCAAGACGCTGAGCAGGACGCATATTGGGGCCACGGAGGAGGGTGGTGGCGGCGGCGTCAGGTTGGACGGGGAGGCGGAGCAGGTGCAGGTTTGCATGGAGGATATTGTGGACGCCATCAAGTCTGTTCCCAAGGGTATCACGCACCAGATGCTGGACGGCTACGAGAGGTGGTCGAAGCAGTTTATGAAGCATCAGAACCAGAAATAGAGAATCATGACTGTTTACGATTTGCGTCTTGGCATCGCTTATCGTCCTCCTCTGAATCTGGTGGATGATGCTCACCGTATGATAGCTCATGTTACCTGCCAGTAATCACAACGTTTGTAGAGGTTTTCTCTGCGGCTTCGCCAGAGAATGGGTGTATGCGGCTTAGAACTAGCTTCCATTAATCCACTCTCGTCAAAAGCCAGATGAGATCCTCAGTCAAGATGTTGCATCGACTGGCAGGTTCTACAGAACTGCAATGCTAGATAACTCGGATCCATCGCCTCGGGCCCGAACTGCTCGAAAGGCTCATTTACGAATCGACTTGACTGACTAGTAAGATTTCACAGAAAATCGCGCCGAGGTTCTCACTTAACCGGACCCGAGATTCCCTTCGCATTAACCATTGACTTGTCTCAGCATTGCGGCTCCGCAGACTGAACCAGCCGGGTGGTTTACTGGCTGCACCTCTGAGGTTTGCTGGTATTCCGTTTGCAAGACGACATGCATCTAGTATTATATATGCAGCCACCCGATGTTGGACCAGTCGTGACATCAGACCATGCCCTGTCTGTGCCGTACAAGGCATGAATTCAGCTATTCTCGCAAGACCTCAACGCAAGAGACTTTTCACATGCTACGATACGCTCACCCAATTGAGAGCAGTGGGACTGAAACTCTTTTTTTTTCGAGATTGTTGGTGGTGCAACTTCTTGAAAACCCGTGCTAGAGTCGTGATTGGCTACCGATGGATTGCATTGAGATGGGGCGACGCAGCGCCCCCCCTTTTTTTTTTTTCGCGTTAGTCTCTGGAACCCGCACAGGACGGGGTATCAATGGATCATTTCGACCAACATCTGGTGACGGCCACTGTAAGTTCTGGGGGTTTGAGAGGTGATAATGTACGATTTGAGCAGAGGAATACCAGGGCGTATCAGCTCACTAATTCCCAAATTACCAACCTCTCCGCGAACCGGCCCGGCTGAAGTTGACGCGGGCAATAAAGAGCTTCTAGACGCAGGGTACCTTGGTCGATCTGGGGGTGCTGTCAGTGTCAAAAGAGAGCAGAAGTCAGGAACAACCTAAAGACACCAGAGGGTGGATACCAAGAGTGCCTGATGTTTGGGCCGAGCAGGAATCTATTACGCATGACCGTGGTTCGACACGTGAAATGGGCGGTGTGTGGGCACTAATTGGAGCGTGGCAATTGGTTCGATTGCAACGGCGTGAGCCGCCATAGAACGACTTGTCGTTGAGATCGCCTTCTGTAATTTTTCTGGATCCTCCGAGAGCTTCGCCTTTTGTTCTGGACGGAGTACTTCGTAGTCTCAGGGGTTCGTGTCTTTGTGCCTTTGGAGTTTTGAACAGAGGATTCTTGGGTGGCTCGACTGACAAACTAAGCGCAAGAATACCTACCTTGATGTACCATCTCATGTGCCGTAACTTAGCTCTACACTAGAAGTTGCTTGACTTATTCAGTTGTTCCTGCATTGACTGAAGTGTCTGTCATTCAGTCAACGAGGAAACAACCAACGCGGAAAGAAACATTTACCCCCCCCCCCCCCCCCCCCCCCTGGCAAAAGGCTATGGTGCAGGGGCCCCAGCTAAACTGAATCGTCCACTCATCACGCTTCTTTTCCTTCTTTGGATTTCATCTGCCACCATATCGTTCGAGGCGGGACGTGAACGACAAGTCTAACCACCTCCCATCCCTCGACCTCTTCCAATCTCACCTGGTCTTTTCATAAAACCCGATAGCGGCAACCAGTCTCACTTGCTGGTCTCCCCCCTCCCCTCCCGTTCTTCCTATCATCCAAAGCCAAACGCTTCCCCCCAACGTTCCCAAGCGCACTCCCAACGACCGAATCCGAGGCTCCCCTCAAAGGTGACTTTCAACATCCCTTTTGCTGCCTTTCCTATCAAAGCGTCCTTTCGCACAGGCCCATTACGACAATCGGCAACACCACGATCTCCCCGCCACCCTACGCTTCAACAGCATCACACATACTACCAGACAAACCCCTGAGGGTCGAATTGAAATGATCGAAAGTCCAACAGCAGCTGCCGACGCCCGCGCCGAGCGCCGCACAAAGTACCACGAGGCCGATGTCGTCGTCGTCGGCGCTGGTGTCTTTGGGTGCGCCATTGCATACGCATTGGGCCAGCAGGGAAGAAGTGTACTTCTACTCGAGAGATGTATGAAGGAACCCGATCGCATTGTCGGCGAGCTGCTGCAGCCCGGTGGCATCGTCGCCCTGCGTCAACTGGGGCTGGCCGACTGCCTCGAGGGCATCGACGCCATTCCCTGCTACGGTTACAAAGTCAGCTTCCACGGAAATGGAATCGACATCCCCTACCCTTCATTTGACGAGAACGGTCGCATGATCCACGCTTCAGAGAGCGAGGCCGCATCCGCGAGCGCGAAGCAGAAGGAGGGCAGATGCTTCCACCACGGTCGCTTCATCAACAACCTCCGCAAAGCATGCATGACACAGGAGAACATTACTGTTGTCGAGACCAAGGTGACAGCCACGATACAAGGCGACGACAAGGATACGGTGCTTGGTGTAAGGTCCAAGACGACAGACGCCGCGACGGGCCAGAAGAAGGACGACTATTTCTTTGGCCAGCTGACCATCATCGCCGACGGTTACGCTTCCAAGTTCCGCAAGGAGTACCTACCGCAAGAACCCGTCGTCAAGTCAAAGTTCTACGCCCTCGAGCTCATCGATGCCCCTATGCTCTCGCCCGGCTACGGTCATGTCTGTATCGGCAATGCCTTCCCCGTTCTCCTGTACCAGATCGGCACCCACGAGACCCGCGCGCTCATCGACGTGCCCGCCAACATTCCCGAGGCCTCACCCGCTGCTGGCGGTGTTCGTGGCTACATCAAGAACGTCGTCATGCCGACATTGCCTCCCCAGATGCGGCCATGCTTTGAGGCTGCTCTTGCCGACGGCAAGATCCCCCGGTCCATGCCGAACTCCTATCTTCCTCCATCCCGCCAGACGGCGAACGGCATGCTCCTTCTCGGAGACGCTCTCAACATGCGTCATCCCCTCACCGGCGGCGGCATGACCGTCGCCTTCAACGACTGTGTAATTCTCTCCGACCTGCTCCACCCCTCGCGCGTCACCGACCTCGCCGATCCTGTGGCCCTGAAGGGAGTCTTGCGCGAGTTCCACTGGCGTCGCAAGAGCCTCACGTCCATCATTAACGTGTTGGCCATGGCGCTGTACGCCTTGTTTGCCGCAAACGACCGCCAGCTGCGCGCCCTGCAGATGGGATGCTTCTCCTACTTCCAGCGCGGCCACGCCTCCGAACCCATGGCCCTCATGGGTGGCCTTATGCACCAGCCGGGCAAGCTCGCCTACCACTTCTTCAGCGTCGCCTTCCTCGCCATCTGGCTCAATGCTCTCAACCTCATGAGCGGTAGCATCTTTGGTTTCTTGAAGGCGCCATTGGCGCTCATTGACGGCATTCTCATTCTCTGGAGAGCGAGCGTCGTATTCTTGCCCGTCATGTGGCGTGAGCTGAACTGAAGAACGCTAGGTATGGGATCATCAGAGTTATTAGACATGAGCAAGAGACGTTGGCGGAATGAGTGATGAGCCAATGAAGAAAAACAACAACAAAAAGGGGGTAATATCCCAACGCCTAGAGGTCTTCTGTTAGGGAGGTCCTGGGCTGTATATATACTCAAGTTGCGATAAACCATATTTGGGATGGAAGCGGATCATTGGATCACCCGAGTGTAGATACAGGTGTATCAGACCATATTATAATATTAATCACGTTCAAGGACTTCCATCTTCTGCAATGCTGATTCGTTGTGTGCAGTAGGGATTCACGTTGGTGACATTCTTTGACGGTCAGTGGTATAAATTGACTGTGGTAATCGATACCTATCCTCTTCCATAGTCTCCGGTTGGTCTGCTCCGCTTACTGCCTTTTGTTTGTATGGTATTGATGGCTGTTGGTGTGAAAAATGTCTCGCTGTGTTCGGAGTGTAGAGAAGGGGGGATACCGAAAGACTCTGGCGTTGACAAAAGGTCTTGCGTTCGTCCTTTGTTGTTAGTCATCGCTTGTTGTATGTACGTTCGTCTTTGAATACGGCGCAGCAACGGGACGATGCATAACAGTGGTATCTATCTAAGAAAGTTTCTAGCTTAGCTGTTTAGAGGGAACGTTATATCATGATTGGAGCTGGATCTTTGATGGAGATGGGCTGCCTGCCTATGAACGATCAGCTAAAGCTTTTTGAACATCATGGTGATATTGCGGGTAATGATTTGTAGCGGTAGATATAATGAATTCGGGCTTAGTACTGGCAGCCTATCTGTCTAGACACCTTAGTTCGACGATGTCTTTCATGAAGATGGACACCTGCTTACAGACATTAGCAACGAGCCGCAAAGGTTATCGGCCATAATGACAACGCTGCAGACGATAGTGCGCAGCGGTAGGTATAATGGACCCAGGGCTTAGTTCTTTGGGGACTTTGTAGATCGTCAATGGTGATCATGCCTCAACTCTTTCCCGAATAAAGGGGTTACGACCTATTTTGCCAGGTACCTCACGTGTACAAAACAAAGTGATCAAGTCTCATGTCTGACTTCCATTGGCCTAGCTAGGTTGTCTACCTGCCGATGTGATGGAAGTTGGACAAACCATCTTTGCCCAGTCTATATGCGCAGATTCAAAAGTCTGCATCACAAACTTTTTGCCAACACTTTTGACCCCTTTCTAGAATAGGGGAGCCCTGAATACCTTTGGTTCCCCCTTCAGAGCAAGATCAACAAGAGGGTTGAGGATAAAAACACAAAAGAAGCGAAACCCGATGCAGATACGCATCACGTCAATCTCCGACGATAGACGCCCATCATCCAGCTACCCCTGAGAATCGCCAGACCGAGGGCCATCTTGATGCTGTCCGAGATGACGCTGAGCTTGCTTCCGGGGACCTCGTGCCAGTCGACAGGCACCTCGGCAACGCGGATTCCGGGGCTGGTGCCAATAACACTGCCGTCTTCTCCGAGAACGGGCGCCGGCGGGGCTGATTCGGCCAGGAGCAGCATCTCGATATCGAAAATCCAGCCCTCAGCGTGCATGTACGGGACGATGTGAGGGAGGGCGGCGCGGGTAAAGAGTTTGAAGCCGCACTGAGTATCGCGGAGGCGGGAGGTGGCGGGCGGGGTGAGGATCATGAGAACCAGGTGGAAGGAGCGCATGAGGAGGTTGCGCAGGGCAGACCGCTAGGCAATGTTAGAATTGAGAAGGGGTTTAGGGGGTTTGCAAGAGCGGCATACCTTTACAACAGCCTCGCTGCCGACAAGGTGAGCGCGGCTGCCAATAGCAACACCGCGGTGCGAGCCGTCGACAACCTCCTCGCAGCCCTGGATCAGACGTCCTAGGTCGCTGAACTTTGTAGCGCCGTCGGCGTCGGCAAAGAGCACGTACTCGCCGCGAGCGTGGCGGAAGCCGTGTGTGACGGCGCCGCCCTTGCCGCGGTTGCGCTCGAGCTTGATGACGCGGATGACATCGTGGAGGCCCTTCTTCTGCGCAAAGTCGAGGCAGGCGTCTACGGTACTGTCCCTGGATCCGTCGTCCACAATCAGGATCTCGTAGCCGGTGAGTGCCTCAGAGGGCGGGTTCTTGTAGCGTCGGCGCGGGGCAGTAGGGCTGAGGAGGGGCTTGGTCGGGGAGGAGGGGCGGCCAAAGTTCTCGTCGAGGTATTCAACTGCCTCCTCGAGGGTCGGCAGGATGCGGGTTGCTTCGTTGTAAGCGGGGAGCACGACAGTCAGGCGCACGTCCGCGGGGTCGATTGTCGCACCCGAGTCGGGGACATCGCGAGGATCGGTCAGATGTGCGCGCGCCTCGGAGACGCTGCGCTCGGCGAACCAGCGATCGAACCAGGAGGGGGCTGCGACCTGGACTGGCTTTCCGGAGGCGGAGGAGGTGAGGTAGACTTTCTCGGAGGGGAGTACGGCGCGGGGCTTCGGAGCGACAAGGTGAAGGGTAATGAAGATCTGTCGAGGGTAAATTGTCAGCTTCAATGGGTTGCAATTGGCAATATCTGGCAGGAATATCGAGCTTTCCATGTATATGGAGGAGCTAGCTTACAGAAAAAAGGCCAATGGCGGCGAGACTGAGCAGCGCGACGCCAAGAGCTGGCCACGATGCCTGGGTTATCTGATCCATTGTGGTGTCGCGATGGTGACCATGAGCGCTGGCTGGTGCCGTAGTTGCCTTTGGTCAAGGCCAACAAGAGAAAGAGTGAATGCTGCGAGAAAGCTGATGTAAAGAAAAGAAGAATCCGTTGCACGCACAAGAACAGAGAAGAAAGAAAATTGCTGCAACTGCCGCAGCTGCAGCTTGAATTCAGTGACACTGAGACGAGGGCATCGACTGAATTGGCGGGTATGTACGGAGTAGCAGCTTCGGCACCACCGTTTCTGGGGTTCTGGGATACGTAATGCGGAACGCGGCAGCTTTCGGGAGCCCCCCTTTTATGGCTTAACGAGGCTGGCCAATTGGGTTGGACACTTGGGGCACTTTCCAATGGCAGGAGCCAATTGCCATGGAGGGGTAGGTACCTACTTGCCTTGCTTAGCGTGCCTCTTTAGATACCTTCCCTAGGTAGGTCTCCTGAGGGGATGCTCTTGCCCGCTATTTTCGGCTTGTGGGGGAAACACCGTAGCCTCGCATTAGCACTTTCCATTGCAAGTTCAGATGGACCTGGGCAGCAATGCAAATGTGACTGGCATGAATCGCATTCTTCACCTACGGATACCTATTTTTGGGAGCAACATCGTGTTTGTTCGGCACCGCCCGAGAGGGCCATTTCTTGCATTTCCTCAGCGTAACCCTACCTATTCGGACTTTTCTGCATACGACTGGCAGCCGAAGCCTCTCCAACGGATTCTTCGAGTCACTTGAAAACATCTCTTCTCTATACCTCCACCCAAATGATTGCGTGTGGGTTGGTGGTGGACGACGACGACGACGACGACGACGACACTCCTCAAGCCGAGCCACAATCAACGAACATGCTGCGTCAGTTTCCGACCCAAGACATCGCAATGCCATGAACAGACCAGTTGCGCTCGGGGCCAACCCACATTCCAGGCTCGTAACTCAACTCTTCCCCCACGCTGGGTTGACAGCATTAAATCGCCATACCTGCGCATATGTCATCCCGTCTGCAGTAAACCCCTTCGGTCGCTCTATTCTTTCGTCTTCGGCCTACTCTGTTGAACATGTGGATAACTGGGGGTTCAGCGCGTTGTCGTCTCCATCAGCGGTACCTGAGCTGCTCGCTGCAAGCCGCCGTCACTACCGGCAAATGTAATGCATCCCCAAAGCCACGCGACGCCACATAAGCTCGGCCTTGGGAAGCCGCTCGCCATGAGGAGAGGTGTATCTGGTACTTTCATCCCGTCTTACACCATCATCACCTCCCGTGCCGCCTAGACAAGAAACACAAATGTGGCCAGCCATCCATGGTACCAATGGCACTTCGTCTGACAAGCCTCCAAACGAGCGCCAAAGGACTATCGTCAACTTTAAAATTGAGGAACCACGGAACCCTAACCCCGCGAGAAGCGCACGATCAACCAGGGGTCATCCAGAGCCGCCCAGACGGTTCCTTCAAGCCACGGCTTACCAGAGCTGAGCGCGAGTTGGCCTTCCTGTGGAAATTGCATCCCAATCCTTTCCCGTGCTCTTCCCCGGCGCCTCTCGAGTCTAGGTCTATCCATATTCGGTCAACTGATCAATACAGTCCCAAGCGAGGAGAGGAGAGAGAAGCGAATCCTCTTCAACACTCACTCGGGCCCCGAACGCTCCGCATGGGTATTTTCCTCCTCGATGCAGGTCAGACAGGTAGCCAAGACTGCCAACATGAGCTGGGCCGGTCTATACCAAACCAAACGTCCGAGAACCTGCATGCAACCCATCCCAACGGAGCCAATAGACGGGGCTGCATTTGCCCAGTTTTTCCCTCGCTATCTGGAAACTGAAGAGTGCCTAATCAATGGAAAGGGGATACAGGATTAAAGCCACCGAGGCAGGGCAAAAGCGCCTGAGTTGCACCGCATATGCCATGCGGCGCACAATCCTCCGCCATGACTCAATAATTCATCGAACCCTGCATGCCTGTGTTCGGCCGAAGACTGGCTGACAGACACGTTGACTTGGCGCGATTATGGCCGCTGCTCGTGCCCATGCCAATATAGAACAATTACAGGCTTGCACTGCTCGGTTCGGACGACAACAGAAACTTGCAGCTTACAGAGGTGCAAAACGAGCATCGAATGAGCTGAACGGCATCGTGCAGTTTCGTGTCTTCACAGTACCTCACCTCGGTCCCAGTGACGAGTTGGTCGGTCTTCGAACCCGAGACAACAAGATCCCGCCTGTCCAAGCATCACCTTGCTCAGCCTGCTTCGCCAAACCTGACCCGTCACATCTGCGGAATTGAACCTTCCCTCGAGCTGTCTCTGGCGCATATGCAAGGACTCGATAACGCGTGTGTTGGCGTTACCATCAGTCTCCACCGCCAGTGTCCGAATCCACGCGTGTGGGGGGTGCCTCTTGCGTCGATAACCTCATCAAGCTCGACACGCCTGGACGCGCCAACTTCTATCTTCGTCATCTACACTAGACCCATACACCAAAGCCCTTCGTCCCTGACGATCCCTAGGTCATTGCCTGCCGGTCATGTTCATCGACACAAAAACCTCGTGTGGACCCTGACGATCTCTTTCCCTTTTACACGACACTATCCAGACAGTGGCATCCGCCCATCTTTAACAATCGGCGTGGCCGTGGTACTGGGTCCTGGCCGCTCGGGAAAAGCAGTCCGGTCCGGACGGGAAGTAACACTTTTGGTTATTTCTTGACATTTACATCACCGAATCATCAATAGCACTGACGATCACAATTCGCACTCGGCATCGCGGTCTAGATTGGCGAACTTCCAGCTGCTCGTTTGCTACACCAACCTTCCCATCTCAGGAAACGCACTAAGGTCACTAAACCTTGCCTCTTATAGTCCGGTCCCGACGGACGGCGGCTTTGGAGGTAGTTTCATTACTAGCCAGGAACTGAAGAGGGTCAGATAGCTAAACCGACGCCGAGTAAATCAGGGTTTTCCCCGCCTGGCAGCTGTTGGGAAGAATATTCGGTCGCTTTCAGGTTCTCTCCTGGAGGCCAAGCCTTCCTAGGCTGGTAGGCAAAGTTGGTAAGCGTGGCGTGCGTGCAAAATGCAGGTATCAGAGCTGTGTCTCACCTTCTGTCTGCAGTGCCGTGCCCCCCGAGACAATCGTCTTGTCTCACTCACTATCCAGCCTTTTTGCCGTTCAATCTTTCTTGGCAGTCAACGCAGTCAAGGCCTGGTTGTCTTTCCCACCCAATGTCTCGCCCACACCCAAGCGCTAAACATGATGTTAGACTTCGCTGTAATGTTGTACTGGGCACGTCACTTGAACTAGAAGGGATGAAAAGAAGAAATGATAATGAGCTTATTTTTGTCTCTTTGGTTACTTTTTTTCCTCCCATCTCATCGAAGATTGAAGGTCTTGTTCAAGACTTTCCCCACGTGAATGCGGATCTTTGTCTCGAGTTGAAATAATGCTCGACATCAGGCCAAGCACAGAAGCAAACAAGGTAGATATATTGGGGCCCTGAAGAATGAGGGTATGATATTTCATTCCGTTGGTCGCTATCCTGCCAACGTTGTAGTAGTGGTAGTGGTAGTAGTAGTGATATGAGAAGTAAGGAAAGTGTCTATGTTATCGGTATAAGTTGTGGTCATGATATGGTCATCAAATAAGCAAGAAAATAATGGGATCCATCCCGGATCCGACCCTGAAGATATTCAAGTCCCTGTAAGTAAGTATCCAGTGTTGCTGAAGTCCAGCGGCAGCAACTCTGAGAGATGCCCCCCCTGACGATTTTTTCGATCCCAAAGTGTTGCATAGTGAAAAGCCAAGGGACTCCGAGTCTAATGGCGTCATTGTAATAAGACATTACTCTCAAACGCCCGCGCCGGTTGTTGTAAAAGAGGCTATAGTTTGGCACCCGAAACCATGAGCAAATGTTGACGTAGGAAAAATTGTGTGTGAGTGTGTGTGATGTAGACGGTGACGTCTTAGTACCGTTTAAACTGCAACGGCGGATGAGCTCTTTGTCGACCAACGGCTCTTCTTAGTCAGCTTAGAGCCGGCTTGCTTCGAAAGGCGCTTTCCGGGCTTGTTGCTAGAAACGACTTCAGAGGGCGCGGCGCTGACCATTTCGACAGCGACTGCCTTGTCGATGACCTGAGGCGGCGTGGTGTCGCGGCGAGTGTGTTCGTAGGGGATGCTGGCGACGTTGGCTGCCTTCTCCGTGTTGGAGTCGACGATCTCCAGTTCGGTAAAACGAGTGACCTTGGACTTTGAGGTGCTGCGACGGTCCTTCGACTTCATGGCAGACGGCGCAGCGGCAACGGGTTGCGGGGCGTACGTGTAGGAGCCGCCCTCTTCCTCTTCTTCAACAGACTCGTATACTGGCTCGGGCGTTACACAAGCTGCGGGTGTGGTGGGGGCCGACGATCTTCCAGACATGGGTGCGGAGAAAGGCGCGCCAGTGTTGATATTGAAGTTGAATGAAGAGAATCCCGATGAAGAGCGGACGCTCGCAGTCGAGGCGGCTGACGAGGCAACCACGTTTTGCTGGGTTGTTGGAGAGTTGCCAAACTGCATCGGTGGAAGAGACGTCATTGCCGGGATGGCGTTGAATCCGCGCATCGACGGCGGCGGCTTGCTTCGCTCTGTGGAAGGCGAAGACTGCTCAGCTTTCGGGGAGCCATCGGCACGCTCCGATGCATCCGATGCCCGACGAGAACTCGGGTGGAGCCTGTGTGTGTGAACAGCAGCAACTGGGTTTCGGGGTGCTTGTGAGGCAGCAGGTGGCATAGAAACATGACGAGCGGGCTCCATCTCCAAGTCCTCCTGTGAGCTGGTTGAACGACTTGAGCTACCCGTGGGAGATTCAGCTGCCGCGTGTTAGTCTCTGGCTGTCTTGCGAACTGGTAAGGCCATCTAGCGCAGCTTACCTTTGACAGATGACGGGCTGTTACGTCCCGAGGCATACGACCTATCCACGTCCTTGCCCTTGAGTGAGCCTTTGAGTGAGATGCGGCTGCCGTCAGGGACACCATATACGGAATTAGTGTTGCGATCCTGCCAATAGGTCATCGGGGGTGGACCGCCGCTGTAGCTGTATGCCCTCGGCATGTTGCTCATTGGGCTGGCGTGGGCGGAAGGATAAGTGACGTGTGAGAGACTGCTTGAGACGCGAGGTAGACTTGGGCCGGGCATTCTGCTCAAGCCGCTGGCGGCCATCGCACTTCGCCGCCGGTTTTGCTCCATAATCCTGGGTCGGTCCTCATGTTTGAAGGCTGATGGTGCTCCGGCAAGCGCGTCGATGGCGGCATGGGTTGGAATGTGTTTGTACGGCTGTTTTGGTGCCTCGGCGGCCTTCTCTGCCTGCTTTTGCTTGTGCTCCTTGGCCTGTTGCCTAGACTTCTTGAAAAGAGAAAAGACAGCCATCTTGGTCTTTGATTTGGCGCCGTTGGGCCAGCGATGGCAAGGTTGCTGTTAGGTAGAGCCGGTGTAAACAGTCAAATAATGAACCGCACTTCTATCAAGAAGCCGATAATATCTCTGTTGGAAGAGAAGAAAGAGTATCCGGTACGGCTCGGTGTGATGGGAGGTGAAATGATAATAAGAGCAATGGCCGGGGTACTGTTGTTCTTTGACTGGCAGGATTTCGTATAAGTCGAGCCCGGGCAGCTGGTTTGGGCTATACTCAGGCGGCACAGGTGAAACTCGGGCGGTACCACAGACCAAATCCCAGCTCGGATGACTCTCTGACTTGGCGATATGGGAAAGGTGTCGGCTTGGCGAAAAGTCGTCCGTTCACTATCACTAGTAGCGATCGTTGCGGGAGATGGCTCGTGCCTGTCTGGCAGGTGGACGGATGGATGTCGGGAGTCAGGTTGAAGCGAGAGTTGGACGAGGGTTGTACCACAGGTGAGGCAGGTTGGGGAGGGATATAAGTAAATAATTATAAACAGCCTTATGTAATGCTGCTCCGGGAAAGCGGATTGCAAAAGCCAAAGTAATATGGATAGATGAGCGAGAGTTGGGAGGAACACTAGGCAGCGCGGAACAGCAGCTGGGTTCGGTCGGGAGCCCAGGTTGCTTTAAGGCGTGGCGGTGGTGTGTGTCTCGGGGTTGGACATGGGATATGCATGGGGGTGGTGGCAGAGGGAGATGGGATGGGTGCATGGACGACGTGGATTGGGACAATTCCCAAGCGGGGGTCCCAGACGACGTGCAGCTTCTGGCTCCCGAGGGCTCCAATGTGTGTCTTTTCTTGGCAACCAAGGCGAGTCCAGCCTTCAGGACTATCCCAACTAAGACGCTGGAAGATGGCGCCGCCGTCAGTCCCGCTTCTTGGGTAGAAGAACCCGTACGATAGTGTCAATGGTGTCGCCGGGCTGCCGTCAGACTTCAGTACCTACGTCTTCGTTCGTCCCGGTCCATCTGTCGATACCCCTGAATCGCACGGTCAGGTCCAGGTCCAGAAGCTGACTGAGATAGCGTCTTTCGACGACTCGCGGCTGGGGGTTCAAGGTAGGACGCGAATGAACCGACGAGAAGGTCACTAGCTCAAGCTTTTGACAGATTTGGAACCAACGCTCGGCACCGGATTTTGAGGATGTGTAGGACTGGACTGGCACGGGGCCTTTGAATATCGTCTCCGAACCCTGGTGACAACCTACTCAGGCTGGTTGGTAGGCATTGGCCTCGCCTCGTTTCGTGCCGTAGCCAAAGTTGGGTTCAAGTTTCCTACTGCCTTTTCCCAGCGCTGCACAGCAAATCACAGCTGCAGCGGCTCAGCAAGGACTGGTCGCCCGGTAAAGATTGGCGGCTGTCTCTTCTGCTTGGCTTGATTGGGCCCGTAATACGTGTAGGCTTATGCAGCAGAGAAGACGTTTGGCCTTCTAAGTTCTGTGCCTTTTTTTTTTTTTTGCTTGACCAAACGGCCCTCGTATTCGAGAGACAGGTAGCGGTACCTTGCTGCAGGGATGCGCCGGCTCCAGCACGAGCGTTGTGATCGTGGCAGGAAAAGAAAGTCTTTGGTTGGAATTCGATAGCGTCGGTGGGAGACAAGCCGCTAGGCGACGCCCAGGTACCCAGTACCAGATCATCAGCACGGAAACTCGCGCGGACATTCCAGGGGCATGTTGAGCTAAATTCGCTGGTCCGCTTCAGGGGAATAAGGGCCCGGTGATGGATACTCTGTGAGGGTGGATGATGCCGATGATGAATTGGCGAATTGCTGATGGTGTGCCAATGTGCCCCTTCCCCCGTCCGTCCCGTAAGTCTCGTCCTCCCATCACCACCAATATCGCTACCACGAGTGTGCCTGACCACCACCACGCATCGCCCTCGTCTTCGCCGCCGTCGACTAGGCTAGGTCAAGTAAGACTAGCGGTCGTCTGTCTGACGTTTTTGTCAACGGGTCTTTTGTTCTCAAAGCCGACCATGGCAACGGGGCGGGGGAAGCAGAAAGCTACTGCAGCGTTGTCTATCTTTGGGCTTCCATCGTAGGTGTCCCATACGCCACTCGGCACGTCTTCCCATTACATCAACGACCATCCTCTTGTTTGTTACACGAGACCGAAACTTTGACCGGATATGACGATCCTGGGGCCGATTTCCGCTATCCGTCTTCTTCTTCGTCGTCGTCATCCAGTGTCGTCAGTATTCTTTTGTTATACCAAGACTGTTGACGTCCAAATGAGGTGGAAGTGCCTGAAAGAGACGGCGACGATGTCCCGACGGCAACGAAGTGCTCCTTTGAAAAAGGTTCGGCCTCATGCCGAAGCAAGGCCCACAGGTTCCAGGGCAGGCAGGTCGCAAACGAGACCATGGAGCGGCTGGATATCGCAAATTCCCCTTGGTCGACGGCGGTTTGCCATTTCTTGCTTTTTTGTGGGCATCGTAATCGTTGAAAGTGTTTTGGCGTGGCATTGAGTGTGTGAGCGTGGGAGAGTATCATGTATGTAAGATTATACCCCTGTCTGAAGCTTGCTCGTGCCGGTGGATAGCCAGCAGGGCTAGGCAGCTGGTATGAACATGGATTGCATTAAGATGTGAGATGGGTTGGCGGAACGGCCACACAGCGAAGAGGCATATCGACGATTGTAAGTTGTTAAGGTAACTTGTTGGGGGGGTCGGATGGCGGGAACCATCTGCCGCCACGGACAATCCAATGTCCCAGCTGCTTGTACCTCCGTACTTTGTAGTAAGAGGTGTACCTACCTACTCCGTAGGCCTGCTGCAGGCAGGAAGGGCAGGCGAACCGACCTTGACCTCACGAAGGAAGGAATTATCGAATAGCAATCTTGCCTCCTTCCATGTGGTGCGATTGAACTGCATTCCAGCGGTACGTACTTTCCCGTCTCAGGTTCTCAATCAAGGTATCCATCCCATCCGTAAGATAAGGTATACCTTAGGTAGGTAAGGTATGCATCGTTGCGATTCATTCGTCGTGCTTACCTTAACTGTCTTACCTATTCCAAGGTCCCTTAGGTCGTGGAACGTTCATGTGCTCGACTGATCTTATCTTTCTCTCTTCATCATCTGGAATTCAGTCTTCATCCAATGAGTTCGGACAAACGTACAGGTGCATATGTACATACCTGCTTCAATAATTGGTTCGTCTTCTTGCACCGAGAGTCAGTGTGTCTCTCAACTGCAGGGCATACCTCGCCAAAGCGGAACTGACAGCCGGGCCATGCGAGGATTCCATGTCCTCCTCTTCGTCTGTCTGTATCGAGCTCAGTTCAGCCTGGTGAGTCGAGACAACCTATCAATTCGCCTAATGTGGTGGTCCTCTGACTATCAAGAACTAAATGCACATGGTGCCTGGTTCCTGGTGCCAAGTAAGGCGTCTCAAACTCACCTGGATAGGCTGGATTGCTGCTGTCATTCACTCGGACACTTTCACAATCCTTGACGCAGTCCCAAGCCCATCTCATCACAATCGACCAGGATGACTCAATGATTCCGAGCTCGCATATCAAGCCCTTCATTTCACCTACAGATACGGATAGATACCCAGCCTTTCTTACCGCACAATCTGGATAAACGCCCAAACAAGCCAGCATTGCGTGCTTTCTCGCTCGGCACCGGCACACCACGTACATACACCTACTTACACACCGCAACATAGAAAAGAAGAGGAAAAAAAATTCCCCGACCGTCGCCAACATCCTCCTTCGCGTTCCGACGCACATGCTCTTGCATGATACCTAGCCCGACCCGGTTGCTTGGACCAAAAGCAGACGATAGACAGCACGCTGAACCGGGGTGTGCTCAACGTTCGTCCACCTGAAAGCAGCAGCAGTCGTTGTCAAAGTACGTGGAGCGCGCCCGCTTGGGGCCACGCGCAGCTCAGTTTGGGCATATGGAGCTTTCAGCTGCCTACCTACTTCCCTATCTTGAACCCCCAGTAGCCCGGCCCTGGGAATATTGATTTTTCTCTAGCCTTGTCGACGTCGTGAGAAGCCACTGCCTTAAAGCCTTGGCCAGGCTAGAAACATCCCGCGCTGAGTTTTGGCTATCGCCGCCAGATTCGAGAGATAGAACTCGCCATGCAGGCTACTGTTGCATCACCGGGCGCCGGATTCAACCCTCTTGCATATTTCTCCTTATCTCTAGGATCCCTGCCTGCTGCGGTAATGAGACGAGGCCACGAGGGGGCTGTACCGGTAGACTCGAAAAGTAGGCTTTTTCGACGTCGAAACATGTCCAGTCAACTGGACCCTAGAAGTCTCACGGGTCTGGCGTCGAAGAGTGGCTGTTCAGCCTCACATTCAAAGTGTGATCATAAGGGCAGAATCGGTACTACCATCATTTCTCGTCGCCCGTGTGAAACTCCAAAGTACAATATCTGTGACTTTTTTTTTTGGTCGGCGAAGGGGTCGACGTATGCCCTCAGACTTCAGCCAGCCGCACCCGTACCAAAGCTGGGAAAAAGCCTAGATTAGCCGTCTTGGTAGAGTTTCGAAAATTGGTGAAGGAGGCTCATGAGGCTAGCCCTCGGGAGCTCTATAGAGCTGCCGTGATCATGCCGGACGGGCGACCGAGAAATACTCACAACTCGCGAGCTGCCACGCACCGGTTGGCAGTCAGCCGCGTCGAAGCCATCCAATCTTGGCCTAGCTATTCTACCTACCTCTTCCAGGGTGCGTGTCTCAAACTCGCCGAGGGTGTGTACGGATATCTCTCTCAATCAGAGTCTCAGTCGGTCACGGCCCACGCGGGGGGGGGGGGTTATTTCAAGTTCGTGGCTGGACCGTCCCGATCAACGCATGGGTGGTGCGGCGTTGCCTATCAATATTCTGCGCCATCCCAATACGACCCTGCCCATGCCATGGGATAATGTTCCGTTGCATCCCATGGGGGTTCATTTCCTCGCCGAGCCGTAATCATGTACGGATATGTATGGGAGAGGCAAGTCGTAAAAACACCTTCATCGGCAAGAACATGCGAATGAGTAAGAGAACACATTTTGGAAAGTTGAGATCACTCAGGTGCAAGTCAGACTCGCATGCCGCTGCCACGTTTCGAATCGCTCCGTCACAAACGTGCTTCCGCGACATTTGGAGCGGCCGTATCGAGGTAATATCGTCCAGTCTGACATGCATAACTAGGTACCAGAACGCCCTCTCATACACCCATCAACACAGAACGAATAAAAGCCTCGCGAGCAACCTCAGTCGAGGCACCGGAAAGCGACATAGATAAGATGCTGGCTGAATCGAAGCACCATCTCATCTCATCTCATCTCATCTCCTTTTCTTACCTGCAGGCTCCTCCTCCTCCTCCTCCTCCAAAGAGACCTCCAAAGAGAGAGGGAGAAAAAAACCTTGTTTGTCCTGCATCATCAAGATTGTTGGGACTAAACAAGGCGCCACACTAGTTCCCTGTGACCATGTAAGTTGACAAGGACCCTGGTTTCTGCGCGCGCCGCACCCCCGAAAGGTGGAATTTTCTCCGTTCGACGAGCCTTCAGGCTTTCGCCAGCAAATATTCCCGGCCCGCCCGGGTTGCGGTTCCCAGTGCCCACCCCCATCCCCTGCTAGGGCACTCGATGATTGTTTCCTAGGCCCCGACGCCGTTCGTTGATTATTTCTCCAGGTTTCCCGGCTAGTTCTGTCTGGCAGAGAACCGAACCCCTGCTCCAGCCTCCGAGGTGTTACTGTCAAATCCCACTGCAAGAGGCTACTTCACAATCGCCTTGTCGAGATTGCCTTGCGTGAGAAATGGATGCAGTGACAGGAGTGAGAAACTGCAAAGAGATGCAAAAGCGCTGCAAAAAGATGTCAGCCTCAGTAATTGTTTCGTTTCCTCTCAATGATGTCTGGTCTTTTGGCGCAGGCTAGTTAGTTGCCTCTATTCCCACAACTTTCGCTATGCGAACCCTGACGATCAGGAGTACGCGTCAACTGCAGCTGGTAAGGTCATTCGTGGCTAACTTTTGGCTAGAGGTCCCCTGGATTGTGACGGACCAGAGGTCGCGGGGACTAACAGCTGACAGATTCGGAAGTCTCTCGCTTGTGAGGTGGTAGGTCGCGTACCATCAAGCACGCCGATTCGGGAGAATCGGCTGAGCCTAAATCGTGAAACTGTAGGCTGCCGTTGGAATAGACCCGAGTCGTCCATCTTTTCTTTGTTTCCTTCTGCGCCACCGCACCATCTCCACCAGAGCTGATCGGCCTTGCGTACTCGTGACTGTGGCATCGCAAGCTCGAAGTGGTCCGAATGGAATCAATTGATACAAGGACTGCTTCCATCATCTTCCAAAGTACCGGGCCCGCCTAAGCGGCGTTGTCCGACTTCAACATGTACACAATGATGCGCCGGTTGATCGGTCCACGATGGCAATAATCTTGGCTTCCCCGGACTCGTATGCCGGACTGGTAAACCCCGAATCGTCAAGATCGTCAATGCAAGGGATCTGCGGCTAAATAATTTTAGACCACTGTCGGCTCTTCTGACGGCATTGAGAGGAGCTAGCGAGAGCCGAAGTTCGGATTTTTCTTGATCGCAGTGACGATGACGAGGGACCCTTTCGTCCAGGTTGAGGGCATTTTTGCTGATCGTAATGGGCTCGTGTCGTGGTCTGCGCGCCATGCTGAAAGATGGACTCGGATCAGCCATTAGTCGTGGCTTGCCTGACACTTGCATTGGAGAGGGAATATTCACAATGCGCGATGGCCTTAGCGAAGTTCGTACTTGGGTTGTTGGGTGAACCACGCCTGTGGTATTGACCAAGAGCCCGTTGTGCGGAAGCAGAAGTGTAGCGCATCGCATTGACGTATCGTTCGATGATTGAACTTGCCGGCCTGTGACATGACATCAATGCCGATTCACTTTGTAGATAGCACCCCCCTGTAGAGCTCAATCAGACTTTGTCAGTTCATGAGAAAATAAACAAGCAGCATTGGCATCCGGAGAGAAAGCGAATATGAAAGATGTCGGAAGTGGGGGTAGAAAATGTGATTCGTGGAGATGGAGCCTTGAATCCCTGCGTGTTCTGTTTAACCTTTGATTCCCAGAAAGCCCATGGGCCATTGTTCCGATGCCCCAGTGATGTGGCACGAGCTCTTGGGATGATCTGCACGGGAGCACCCAAGCAAGAACTGGGGCTTTTTCAGTTCCTCTGGGTCCATTGTTACATGCGTACATGCACTTGATCAGATGCGACAGATGCTTTTCTGCCAAGAAATGGAACGGCGATGTTTCGAAAGGCTAGATATTTAGATCGGTACTCTGCTGCCGGTTGGCGAAGATAGTTTCATGAGAGTGCTTGTATGATGTACCTAGGTATTCAGCGGCACGTGGACTCAACGGTTTTGCAACAGCGACATAGCAAGGCCAAGAGGTACTCTGGTCGTAAGTTGGTGGTGAGGAATGTTGCCCCCGTTTTCATTCCGGGCAGTTGGGATCCCCAGGCATTGATCAATAAGCACATGAGATGCGGGGAAGAAGTCTACATACCCATCTGACGCAGTGGTTCGAGGTAAGGTAGGGGTGTCTTTGTTTTTGGTTGAACAAACGCTGGTTCCACGGAACGGCCTGGCCCAACGTCTGGCATCGAAAAGCAGAAACATACAATGACGAGGTTGAGCTGTAATTTGAGATAAGGTTAAATAAAGGTGTGTCCCACGAACGAGCATAAGGTACATATTGAAACGAGACTTAGTACATTACCTTGGGCGCTTGCCTTGCAGGGACCTCACTGTGCCGCCAACCCTTGGTGCCTTCTTCCTGGGTTGCTAGGTACCTTGCTTTGCCTCGGATGAGAAAGGCAGGGTCTTCTTGTTGCCTCCAATCTGCAACTTACCTTATGGAAGGTTCCTGTCAAGTAGCGTACAGAGATGGAAGGAACAGATAGTTTGACGCAGGGGTCCACGATAGCTAGACATCGCCTTTCATGGGAACCTTGAAAAACACGAGGTGGACCTGTACTCCGTAGTGTGCTTGATGTCCGATGCTTAGTCATGCACAGGTGATGAACGGCAGGCGAGCGCCTACCAAAAGGGGATAATTAGACGAGTAGCCGCACGTTGACGCAAGCCTCCCACCTCTCACCTGCCCCAGTGGTTGTCGCGGGTGCGAGGTGGTAGGTGCGTCGAGTCCACAATCGGCTAGTGCGATGCGGGTACCAAGCCAGAAAGCGGCGAGTGGGAGCGATGAGCGGTAGGGTCACAGCACGGTGGGTGGGCACTGTGGGGACTTCGTTGAGCAACCAGCAAACCTGCCAGCCCAAGGGAATCACGCGCATTGGACACTGTTCCGTCCCACCATCCACGGCCACGCAGCACGCAGCACGCAGCACGCAGAGGTGCCCACCTCCACTCCACTACCTACCTACCTACCCAGTGCCAGCGACAGCAGCAGCCCGCCCAGTTTCCGTCCCAGCAGCGTACCCAAGGTGCCAGCCCAGTCAAGTCCCGTACTTCGTACCCAGTCCCAGACTCCCAGTCCCAGTCCCCAGTTTGCCTCCTCTGTCCGACCAACCGACCGACCGACCGACCGAATACAGCCTCAAAGTTCTTCCATCTCATCATCATCTGCCATCCCACGCAACCCAAAAATTTTGCGCCGCGACGCCGCAGTCGACGACATCCAAATTCCAGTCTCGCCGCCTTCCATCCGTGCAAGCGCGTTGCTTATCATTGTCGCCTGTACTCCGCTATCGCTATCGCTGTCGCGTCAGCCGCAGCATCCTTCTTTCTCCCCTACGCATACGGTGCCTTGCGTCGCTCAAAAAAATCCCCCGGCACCCGCCAATCGCGCGACCCGACCGCCCCCTCCCATTTTGATGGCTCCCTGATCATCTCGACCCTACGTCACCCGGGCACATCTCGTTGCCACGCATTCATCGACGACGACAAGCCTCTTCTCGCACGAGCTCAAGACTTCTCGTCCCCGACCGACCTCTCGCTAGAGAGCCGCGCCCCATTCCAGGCGCGACCGAACGACGGGAAAGTGGCGCTCACCATCCTCACCCAGACCGACGCTGAGCTTTCCCTCCAACAACATCTCGACCTCGCTCCCGATATCCTTAGCTACCCCCGTCTCACTACCGAGGGGGGCACCGAACCATTGATGATGGCACAACCCGTGCCTCATCATGCGACGGACAAGAAACGCGTCAAGGTCTACGAGCTGCGCAACAATGACTGGTTCGATCGCGGCACCGGCTTCTGTACCGCTGCTTTCATGCAGGTATGTCTTGTCACGCGCCTCTACACCGTCGCGGTCTCGCCTTCTTTGCCGTCCATGTCGATGTCTCCATGTACATATCAAAGTCTGATGCTAACCCGATGATGCTCGTCAGGCGGAAGATGGCCAACCTCGAGACCCCAGAGTCATAGTTGAATCGGAAGACCACCCTGATAGGCTTCTACTAGAAACCAAGATCTGCAAAGAGGATGGCTTCCAGAAGCAGCAAGGCAAGTTCCATGGCACCTCTGTGTGCGGCGCAGATAGGCTGACTCGAGAAAACAGAGACCCTCATCGTCTGGACAGAACCCAGCAATGGCATCGACATGGCCCTCTCCTTCCAGGAGGCGGATGGCTGTGCACTGATATGGTAAGCGCTGGCTTCGCATTTTCATCGTTTGATGTTTGTTGCTCACCATTGGTCTTCATAACAGGAAATTCGTCAACAGCGTGCAACAGACTTTCCAGGGCGGCATGGCCGCTGCCGGTAAGTCGCGTGCTAACGGGGACCGCTTTGGACGACCCCAATCTAACGTTTTCCATTCAGACGACAGTCTTTCCGACGATCTGGCTATGGAGATGCCCAGCACCATTAGCCTTCCACCAGCCGAAATAGGGAACCTCCAGGAAATTGAGACTAGCATGCGCATCATGAGTCAGACAGTCAATGGACGAGACGCGCTGGCTAAGTGCATCATGGGCGAGGACTACATTGGCAAGCTGATTCCTTTGGTCGAGATGGCCGAAGATCTCGAGAGCCTATCAGATTTGCACCGACTTTGCAACATCATGAAGACCGTCATTCTTCTCAATGACACCGCCATAATAGAACATGCCGTATCCGACGATTGCGTTCTTGGCGTCGTGGGCGCTCTCGAATACGACCCCGATTTCCCGAGCCACAAAGCCAACCATCGCCACTGGCTAGATAACCAAGGACGATACAAGGAGGTTGTACCGATCCAGGACGACCAGATCAGGAGGAAAATCCATCAGACCTACCGACTCCAGTACTTGAAGGACGTTGTACTGGCGCGCATACTGGACGATCCGACTTTCTCCGTTCTCAACTCTCTGATTTTCTTCAATCAAGTGGATATCGTCCAGCATCTGCAAGGGAACGGGGAATTCCTTGGTGAACTTTTCGGCATCTTCAAGATAACGCAAACAGATCAGAGACGGAAGAAGGAGGCTGTTCTGTTCATTCAGCAATGCTGCGCCATTGCAAAGAACTTGCAGCCGCCGGCTCGCCAAACTCTTTACAACAACTTCATCGGTCACGGCCTGCTTCAGGTCATCAACTTTGGCCTGCGTCACCCTGACGTGAGTGTTCGGGTGGGCGCGACCGACGTCCTCGTATCCCTAATAGACCACGATCCGCACATGATTCGAGGCACTATTTATCGACAACTCCATGAAAGGCAACCGCCCTTGACAGATTCGCTCATTGATCTGCTTTTGGTAGAAGTCGATCTTGGCGTCAAGGCACAGATTTCGGATGCCTTGAAGGTCCTTCTTGACCAGGGCCCTCCGCTTCAGTCGCAGGAGGCTTTCGCAAAAGCCAACGGAGAGTTCCCAGGCCGACGGCCTCAGGCAATGCAGGATCCTCAGCACTCAAATCTCCTTGACAACTTCTACGCTTCATCAGCAATACGGCTCTTCAGGCCCCTCACCGACCTCCGAGGCCGCACCAACATGGCTTTCCCCTTGCAACAAGCGTCAATGTTCACATATCTCATTGAAATACTTTGCTTCTTCATCAGGCAACACCATGCGAAATGCAGACCCTTCGTTCACCAACAAGATCTACTCCGGCGAATTGCTCAGCTATTTGCCTGCCCGGAGAAATATCTCCGACTAGGTTAGTGATCAGCTTCCCAACCGGTCTCGTGCTTTACTAACCATGAATGTCAGTTGCCATTCGCTTCTTCCGTAATCTAGCAGGAATGCAAGACGAGTTCTACGACCGGCTCATCATGGAACATGGCATCTTGGAGCCTTTGCTTGACATGGTCTCCCAATCTATGCATCGGGACAATCTCCTCAGCTCCGCCTGTGTCGAGTTTTTCGTGTTCGTTACCGGGCAAGAGCACAGAAAGGCCATGAACAAGTTCCTCGTCCAAAACTATCGGGAACGGCTAGTCGACTTGAGTTACATGGAAACTTTCCGCAACGTTCTAGTGCTTTACGATCAGACTCAAGGCCACACCGCCGAGTTCTACACAGAATCAGAAGAGGATCTGGCAAGACGGACGGCTGCCAACACCAACCAGAGGATGATGGAACACATCGCTGTAGATCAAGCCGAGGAGGATTACTTCAACACCTCGGATGACGAAGATGGACCTGAGAGCAGGGCTTTTGACAAGGTGCAGCCCACAAATGGCTCACCAGCGTCCACACCAACCTCAAAACCGCTGGTCGATTATCCTTCGGATGAAGAGGTGGACGAAAACGCTGATCCCGAGGTGCTGCCAACGTCTGGAGAGAAGCAAGACGGAACTGATGGCGCTTCCGATACGAGCAGTGAATCATCCTCGGTGGCACCGCCAGAACGTCTGTCCGAGAAGAGACGTCGCGAAGAAGATGACGATGATGAGCTTGGGAAGTTGATGCACAACAAGCGCCGAAACAGTAGTTCTGCAGGGTCGAATGCGTCAATGACATCAAGTATGGTCAGGAGGAAGAAGACCTTTGCGGACCGGTCAAGCACAGCAGCGCCGAAAAAGATAGCGATCAGTATATCACCTTCAGTGAAAACTGGTGGGACGGCGAGGTCGGATGATGAATCCTGAGCGTTTACCCTAGCATTCACTGCATGGCAGATTGCAGATACGATTGGCGATGACTACTGTTTCTATCATGCTTTAACTACGGACGGGCGAGTTTGGGGGCGGTGAGGCGTTATTATCACAGCCACGACATGGGAAACCGAGAAGAGTAACCAGAACTAGCTAGAGAGCCAGAAGGTGCGCCGAGGTGAGAGTGGCTAGAGGTTGTTTCGAGGATCTGTCGTGCAGGACGGCAAAGTTGACATTTCAGAGTGCGCCGACAGCAGAAAGGGGCCCTCTTCCCACCGCTTGGCGCCCTTGGGTGGGAGAGAAAGCGAGAGAGAGAGGGGAAAGAAGAAAAGAGGATAAGTCCCATCGTGGTATGTGGGCTCTGCGGGCTGGAATCGCCAAAGTAGCATCGTGTACCATATTTGTTGAAGTTTTTGCTTCGACACTGGGCTCTTGCGGCCGGCGAGCCTGTTTCTACAAGGCTTTATTTTGCACTCGGGCGCGTAACCGTTCCAAACCCATCTCTGAGCAAATACCAATTTGGATTGAACCAATTTTTCGAGTCTCGTGCCGGTGAAGTGAAGTGAGCAGAATTTATTTAATATTCCTGCGAGTGGCATTAGATACATTTGGCACAAAACAGATGGTCGTCACTGGCTTTCGATGGTCTCTGGTTGAATATGCATTCTATGTTTGGCTATTTTTACATGTATATAACTATCGTCGCCGTACAAGCTTACATTTGTATGAAGACATATTTTATCCGCCACTTGGTGTTGATGAATCCAACGTGACATCTTACACGGGGGTTCACATCATTCGGAACCCCCCCCTCCCCATCCCCCAATCCGTCGTTTCTATCTAAGTGTGGTCGATCTCCACGAATAGGCTCTCTTCGCCGGTTGCGACTCGGTCCCGTTCGAACCTCCAGGCATCGTCGTGGAGTCCAGAGGCCCCTCGCGCTTGGTTTGAACCCTCCTGACCCGCGTCGGCTGCGTGACAGGGGCAGAAGCAGGCGCAAAAGTCATACTGTCTTCTTCTTCAAAGGCCGCCGGTGCAAGACTGTCAGCCTTGCCGGTGGGCTTGGGCCTAGAAGCGTTGTGGGAGATGGCGTCCAGGAGAACCTCCTTAACCTTCATCTTCTGGTCGAGGTTCTCCTTTCTCAAGGCCTCGCGGGTCTCGTGGACAAGAGTCAGGATCTCGATGTCGGACTGGATGAGCGCCTCGTCCTTGTCGGATTCGGCGGCCCTCCGGAGGTATTGCACCGCCCAGTAGAGGCGGTACCTGACCTCCCTGGAAGTGCGATACGCGCGCGTCCGGAGCTCGGCGAGCAGCCAGCGCACCTTGTCGTACTCGTGCCGGATGACGTAGGCGGCGAGAAGGTTGTTGAAGTTGTAGGCGCTGTAGCAGAGGTCGCCGCGGCCGTTGACCTCGGCGGCGATGATGCAGAATTGGACCATCTCCCGGTACTGGCGGAGCTTCTCGCAGATGCGGGCGGCGCGGTGGAACAGGCCGTCGTCGATGTGGACGTGTTTGAGGCGGAGGTCGTCGAAGACGGCCTTCATTTCGGGAAAGGCTGGGCTTCGGCCGTCTTCACCCGCCATACCGGCGTGGCGCTCTCCGATTTCCTCGAGTTGACCGAGGACGATGGGGTACATGGCCTCCTTGGTGTCGCAACCTTCGGACTGCGCACTGCTCAAGAGTGACATTGCCTGTCTGCTTCGAGGGCCTTCGGTTTCAACAACGGCTCTGACTGCCAGCTTGAGACACCGACTCGTGTGTCCCATGCCGTTGTGGAGCGCACGCTTGTAAAGAGCCAGCACACTATTCCACCGCCCGATCTGCGCGTCCGCTCTCATGGATTCGAAGGCACCCCTCTCGTGGGCAGGGCTCGCCATGTAAGACCTCAGCCGGACTTGTTTGGCTCGCGGGCTTGTCGTATTCGTCAGGTTTTTGTAGCATTGCTCGAGGCCGGGGAAGGCCGTGCTGATGCCAGCACCTTTCATGACATGGTACAGTTGGGACAACTGTTTGACGTCGTACTTCCAGTCTCGGCGGCAATTGACCAACATTGCCTTCCAGAATTTATCATCCACGGTGTACCCGGAATCCCTACAGAACACCAGCCATTGCTTCAGTGCATGTATATCGCGACATTTTGCATGTCTGTCGGCAATGAATGTGACCAGATGGCGGTCAAGCCCCAATCCGAATTCCGAGATGTACGTTTCCATGAATGTCTCGACCTCGCCCCACGTGTGAGTCTTAGCATAAGTTTCCAGTACTGCCGCAAACACGCGCTTGAAGTGCCGTTCGTTGTGGGGGTTGGTTGTTTGCATCGTCTTCATCGCCTCAAAATCGCTGAGAACTCCGGCCCAATCTCCTTGCCTGGCCTTTTGTAGGGTGAATTCGCCGAGTATCTTAACATCGGTTTGAGCTTCTGGGTGTATAGATATAAGTTCCTCCATCAGTAAGTCTGCTCTCTCGGCTTTATTAGCCTCGATGCAGATTCGCACCATCCTCGATTGAATCCCGAGAGTGTCTTGGATACCGTAAAATCCGTTGTCTTTTGCGTCTTCGAAAAGCTGAAGCGTCTCCGTGAAGTTGCGTGTCGACCTCCAATGCACCCACATGCAGTCTTCTAGCCATTTCCATGGCATTTCCCATCCATCGCGCTCCCTCAGCCGGTTGAATGTCTGGAGAACTTCGCGACACTGGTAACCTCCGGTTGCAATAACTGAATTGGCCACGCCCATGCAGAGGCGCTTAGAGTATGCAGAGGTCTTTTTCAACTCGGCGAAGATTCCGATAAATGTGTCGATGGTCAGTGCGTGCTGCTTGTGCTCGAAAAGTTCCTTCATGAACCAGACCATGGTTCCAAGCTTATCGAAACTCCACGTAGAAACTTGTTGAAATGTTTGAACAACGTCAATGGGGCAGTCGTCCTCCACAAGGGCTTGGCTAATCAAGTCTTTGCCCACTTTCACGTAGCCAGATCGTATTTTCGATTTTTCCAGCGGAGGCAATAGCAAGTTGCCCACATACAGCCTTGCCGCTGCTTGTAATCTTTCGTGGGCAGATGGGTCTTCCTTAGGCTGTTGCGTTGTCGGGGAGACCAAAGATGTAGCAAACTCAAGAACACATTGCGCCAGCATGTCGTTCTCAGTGGCTACCTTATGATGGACTCCAAACTCTAGAATTTGTCCGGCAATTCGAAATTCGCTCCACCGATGGCAAGCTTTTGATAGCAGCGAAGACAATTCCGAAAACCATTCAGGCAGCGCTTGCGACTGGTCCACAAACTTGTAGACTCGGCCAACAAGATTCAGGGCGGCGGGTGGAATATCCGTCTCGCGCCGGATAGACGTCGAATTACGAAGCAGCTCCTCTAGCCCAGCAGCCTGTGCAATAGCATCGGAATGGTTGCTGATTACACGTTCTACTGCCAGGGCAATGGCGTTCCTTTGTACTGGGCCTCCGTTTGGTTGATTTCCAAGTGACCTTAGAACGCCGTCTCCAGCAGACAAGTCCTGTATCGCAGGGACTGCGGACGAGAAATGGGACACAAAGGGGTCATGGCTCTTCCTCTGCGCAGCGGTTGAGGCCGGCCGGCCACTTTCCTGCGTTGCCTCTCTCTTGTCTGATGATTTTTGCGGAAGATCTCGTTCGCTCGTTGCTCTCGTTGGACGTCGTGCGTCGGGGCCGTTTCCATTGACGTTCTGATCCAAGTACGAGCTATCGAACGCCAACCTCCCGTGTTCGTGTGAGGAATTGCGGCTCCGAGATCGTGCTGGCCAGCTAATGAAATTTGGGTCGGTGGCAACTTCTTCCTGGAGGGCCTCGAGGGCAGCGACGCCGCTGGTGCTGTATCGTTTCAAGGACTTCAGTCTCCTGCCATTTTCGACCGCAGATCTTGCTATCTTGATTCGCTGGCGACGCTCTTCTGCCAAGAGGACGAGAGAGCAAGAAGTTCCGAAGAGTAAACCTCGAAGTGCATGGATCGCGGCTTTCGAGGGGACGGGGGCGGGGGCAGACATTGTGCAAGCTCGACAATTGCCATGATCGTTCGGGACTTGATTATCGGATCATTTCGCAGTCGGAAGTGGTCAATCGCTCGAAAGGGGGGTATCGCGATGTTGGGCGCGGTTGTCAATGGGTCATTGAGACTGCTAGTCAAATGTTGAAGGACCCTTGTCACATCTACGCCCACTGTCGTACCACCCTCGGCCTTTGCTAAGGTATGCGGTCGCTTTTTGCCCGCTGACACCAAACCCGGCGCGCTGGACCCCAGGATCGAGGTGGAGGGGAGGAACTGGAGTTGATCCGCTCCGCTGCAGTTTACCTTAGTCATCACCAGAACCTGACATGCAAGGGACCCGAACCCGAACCCGAACGCCAGCTCCCTTCCTTTGGCTTCAATCGCCCATATCGCAAAGTCCATCCGTTTGTAATTCTGGCAACATGCAGATTTCAGAGATCTCAGAAGCTACATTGTCTCCATGGTCGCCGCTGATCGGAGATTTTAGTTCATGCAGTAAGCTTTGAGTAAATCAAAGCCCATAACATCAGAAGTCAATAGCACTTTACCAGAATATTGATGCTCTAGTGAGGGATAGTAAAGACAGAAAGGCAGGGCTTATCAATCATCATCTACCCACGGCGAAGAAGGCCCATCGCCAGCTCACATTCTTCTTACAAGCCCATATTTCAAACCTGCAGGGCACCGGAGACTTCATTTGGTCCGATTGCTTGAAATCAGTTCGCCCGGCCGCCTGCAGCCCGCAACCGGTAGTGCGAATCGTCGGGGTTAAGACCGGTGATTAGGCACAAAGCGTCTCCCGTGTAAGCTAAGGTGGTATGCGGGACTCGCGCAGGGTCCTAATGCATGGCACTTCGGCTGGAGCATCACGGACTTGGAGACTGGCGCAGGAGCTAACTCTAAATGTCCACATATCCAATTGGACTGACAGCGTCTGAAGACACTGGACGAGCTACCTTACCATGAGATCATCTGTGCCTTGATCTACAGCCTGCCCTGCCAACTGAAGGGTCCTGCCTCCTTTCCTTCCATGTTGCCTGTCGTACATCCAGTTTCGTCCGGAGAGGGAAAGAGCGGTCGGTTTTAGTTGATCCCCCGCCTTCCTGCTCTAAGTCTCCCTCATGTAAAATATATAAAATCCACCTCGTCAGCGCACAAATTCATCCACAGACCAAACCGTTGACCTAACTTCATCCTAAGCTTCTCTCGTTCTGAGCTGCATTCGACTTACTTCCTCATACATCACTCACTACCTATCATCATGTCGGCCCTACCTATGGCAGGTCCGCCCAAGACCCCCTTGGCTCGTTACCGCATTCTGTCCCCGACGGCTTCCGTTCGAGTGAGCCCCCTGTGTCTGGGCGCCATGAACTTTGGCGACGCCTGGTAAGATGATGCTGGCGACATGTGTCTCACACGTCCTTTTCTAATGAGTTTGACAGGAAGGGATACATGGGAACTTGCGATCAAAAGACTGTCGAAGAGATTCTTGACTTCTTCCATGAGCAGGGAGGCAACTTTATCGACACCGCCAACAACTACCAATTCGAAGAATCCGAAGCTTGGATTGGCCAATGGATGAAAAAGAGAGGTGTCCGTGACCAGATGGGTAAGTTCGGCCGTCTATTCCAAGAGAAGCTATGTCTGAGATCGACACAGTCATTGCAACCAAGTACACCACAAACTTCCAAGCTGGCCCCAACGCGCCGAGCATCATGGCCAACTTCACCGGTAACGGATCCAAGAGCTTGCACACGTCTGTAGAGGCTAGCTTGCGCAAGCTGCAAACCGACTACATTGACCTGGTGAGCGGCTTTGTCTCTCATCTTTCAAGTGACGTCACTTACACAGAATAGCTCTATGTGCACTGGTGGGACTACTCTACTTCTATTCCGGAGCTGATGCAGTCCCTCAACAACCTCGTCGTCACCGGCAAGGTCCTGTTTCTCGGTATCAGTGACACCCCCGCTTGGATCGTCAGGTAAGTACCCAAAGGCATATCTCCGTCAAAGGAGCAGGGCTGACTTCCCCATCAGCAAGGCCAATGAGTACGCGAGAAATCATGGACTACGTCAATTCTCAGTCTACCAAGGTCGATGGTCTGCAGCCTCAAGAGACTTTGAGCGAGAGATCATTCCAATGACCAAGGCTGAAGGTTTGTTGCAGTGCCTTAAAGTAAAACTGGAAATTATCCTCTGACATCTGATTAGGAATGAGCTTGGCACCCTGGGGCGCGCTCGGCGGCGGCGTGAGTACTCCTAACTCATATTTTGTTACCCTCTTATGGAAGAGCAGGACTAACTTCGAAACAGGCTTTCAAGACGGAAGAGCAACGCAAGTCCCAGGAGGGCCGCAAAGTTCAGGCTAACGAAGCGCAAATCAAGATCAGCCAGGTGCTGGAAAAGATTGCCAACAGCAAAGGCACGATCATCACGAGTGTTGCTTTGGCTTATGTCATGCAAAAAACGCCTTACGTCTTCCCTATCGTCGGCGGCCGCACTGTCGATCATCTGAAGCAGAACATCGAGGCGTTGGCCCTCGATCTCTCCGATGAAGAAATTCAGGAGATCGAAGGAGCTGTCCCGTTCGATATGGGCTTCCCCCACAACTTCTTGTGGGGAGAGAAGGTCCCGTCGAACCCTGGCGAGGTCTGGTTGCTGAACATGGGAGGAAACTTCGATTATGTTCCAGAGCCTAAGGCCATCGCACCCAAGGAAGGCGGAAAGTAGTACTATCGAGTGCGGAATCAGTACAAAAGGTGGCGGCCAGCAGACTACTGAGAGGCTGTGGAAGCGACATGGTTGCCAAAGTCGCTGCGTAGTTACCTTTAAGTACAATCTTATACACGTTTCTGGTCAGGTACCGGTCCGGTTTGTGATGTTGAATGTAGTTATGAATCACAGACAGATGGCGTCTGGGGATGTCGTCAGTCTGTTGACTATTCAAGGCTCTGCAATGTAGCATGCGGCTTACTTGGCTTGTACACCAATCACCACTCATTCTCTCCACATCGCTTATGCAGGCATGAAGCATATCATTGACTGGAATTGCTGGCCTCGAGCAGTTAAGTTAAGAGAATTGATCAAGACTGACGCCTGGGAAATCGAGGTGCTGTGCTCTTTCTTTTGATGTTTGCATTGCATGATAATCCCCTAGAAGCCGCCAAAGGCAGCATATTACTGCAGACCCCAAACTAAACGAGGAATGTTGACCTTAATCAAGAAAACAATCATAGATCTAGGGAGGCTATGTGAAGAAAGGGCAAGATGAGTTCTCTCCCAGCCAGTATAATCAGAAGGGGACTACTTGGCATTTATCAACCTGCTTCCCACTCAATCATTAAGATGGATTCATGTCAACACTCACCGCAGGTACTTTGGTACCATGTGAGAAAGTGTTGACTTTGGTGCCTGTTCTCGCAGCACAGGGAAGGTGTGGCGTGGGATATCGCAGGAGGTATTCAGAAAGCAGTAGTAGCTCCATCGTTCGCTCTTTCCTCAAACAACTCGTCAGCTGCCACCTACTTGCAAAGAACACTTGGGCATTTCCTGCCACACTTTACTACCTTTTTCAATGTCATACCTTCAAATCTTCACTTTTCCCAACCGCCATGATTGATGATATCTCCTTCCGTCCTTAATTCTGTTCACCACCAAACCGCTAGCCAGGGATAACCTTCGAAAATTATTTTGCGAAGAGGAGACGAATATTGTGCGCCTAGGAGGGTGATTCTAGCCGAGGAAACCACCTAGACGGGCACGTGGGATGCTTTGGGACATTCTCTAGTAGACGTCCCTCTAATTGTCTCGATTATCTGGCGGTACGCTGTTCACTCTTGTTCAACCATGTCGTCGTGAGTCTAGATGCCTGCCTCTTGGAGCTAGCTAATTGGAGTGACAGGCTTCAGGAGTGCGTGTCAGCTTCAACGAATATTTCCACATTCATCGAAAGGCAAATATTCGAATCCGAGCCCCCTAGAATACTGCATGCGGTCAAAGAAGAGCACCTGGTCAATCACGCAAGACGAAGCCTGCCTGGCCTCCCACACCACATCAATCCAGACATCTTTGCTGAAGTATCCGTGAAGGTCGAAGAATTTGACCAGAGCTTCGAAGATTGGGATTTCGTTACTCACGACCGAAGCTCTCCGATCCCAAGCATCGAGGAAAGCTTTTTGGTTGGCGAGTCACCGTCCCAGAGAATGGGGAGCACCATGCCCGCCACGCCCCTCGACTCTGATTACACTTTTTCGCCTCTCCCAAAATCGAGTAGTCGATTCGACCGAAACGAAGGTAAGTCTCATGTGATGAAAGTGGAAGTTTTCTGACAGCTTTTACCAGCATGGGTTCCGGCAGAAGATGCTCCGGTTCAGAAACGATATCGTTCATCTGCGCTAAAGATATCAAGCCCTTTCAAGAGACAGCGCGGGAGGCCCTCGTTGAGATGCTACACAAAAATGACCGTCGATAACTACAAGACGTTATCAGCACCGGAAAGATCTCAGGCGCCGCTGTATCGGAGTATCAGGGATGGCTTTGATACAGGGGAAATCAACGGATCCAGCAAGCTGCAGAGCACAAAGCGGCGCAAGAGATCTCCGGCGCCATCTGGAATAGGCTCCCTTGCTGTGTCTTGCGGAATCAAACCTGCATCATTTCGAAGCACCACGAAGAGTACGAGAATGCGCGAAAGATTTGTCATCGATCCTGATCTACAAGGAAATACCAGAGCCAAGACTCCGACTACGGCTGTCGATTCACAGGTGATGCCAGAGTCTCCGGGACAGGCCACTCCGAATAACTTCCACCACGCCGAGAGGAATACTGTCAACGGGAATTCGGGAAGCCCAAGAGTCTTGCCATCCCTGCGCACCATAGAAGTATTACCAATACGCAGAGGATCGGGCCACTGTTCCGATAACTTATTCATCTTATGTGATCTTGCTGAAGAAACCGATCACGCAAGATGCGACACACTAGACTCGGACCGAGCGAGCACATTCTCTCGTGATGACTCTCACGTAGGCGCCTCAAGCATCTTGCGGGAGGCTTCAAGTACAGCACTGGTGGACGACGGTTTTCTCGACGAGCAGCTGGCAGAAACAAACAGTACATCACCAACCGATACCACGAGTAAGATGAAGCCAGGCGCTGGACGCAAGACCTCATTTGGTCCCGTGAGAACCGAGGAAACATCTGTAAACAATGAAACTCCAGACGCTTCGCTGCTGGCTGGAACTGTGTTACAGGGAGGACCGGCTACTTGGGCGGTCGCATTCGCAGACCTTAGACCACGTCCCGTCGGAACCTTGTCCCGCGAGAACAGAGGTGCGGAAAGCCAGCACTCGCCGTGCCTGGGTACGATTTAGCAGAATAATAGGGATGTGGGTATGCACGCGAATTTCGGGAGTGCGGAGGAAGTAGGAGCATGCTTGATCATCGTGGTTGTGTACATAGCTTCCTCGCTGAGAGACTGTTGGGAGAATCAGCTTGATGGAGACTACCAAGATATATCAACAGCCACGCTTCTCACCCAATACAATGGGTATCATCTGATATAATACATACCAGGCTTTTCCGTAACCCTCCCGGTCCGTTAAAATGAAATGCTTGCATATGTAAACCACCTCAAACGCCGTGCGCCCACAAATCTGTAAGATTCCATCACAGGTTCCTAAGTCCGTAGTCGATCACTTCGCGCCCTTGCCCTTGGCTTCCGTCTCGCCAAGCTCACGGATGAAGACGCTGGCCTTGCCCTCAGCGCTGTAGTCCTCCATGCCTGTTTCGAAGCCCGGGCAGACACCAACTGCAAGGTATTTGCCATCCTTGGAGAAAGCTAGGGCCGCAACGCTATCGGGGAACTTCTGGTACTGCTTCATTCTGCGCTTGGCCTCGGCGTCCCACAAGGCGACCGTTCCATCACCGCCACCAGACGCAAAGGTGCCGTAGACGGGGTGGAACGTCATGGCGTTGACCGGGTACACGATATCACCCTCGCCATCAGGCGCAGCCGCGCGATGGCACTTGAAGGCGTACTTGCGAGCCTGAGACTCCGCCGAGTCCTCGAACCACTCAACGGCGACGCGACCCTCGATACTGCTGGTGGCGTAGCCGGCGTCGTTGGGCATGCATGAGATGGCGCGAGTGAGGAACTTGAGAGACGACTCGCGCTGCTGCCAGGGCTTGATGTCGTGGGGGCCTGGTTCTCCGAAGAGGGCGGGAATGTTGGACAGGTCGTAGATGTTGACGAGGCGCGCGGTCATGGCGACGACGACCTTTGAGGGGCTGGCTGCCAGGGCGTGGGGCTTCCCGGGTAGCTGGACGCTGATGTTCGTATCAGAAGGCGACTTCGCGTTATGGATCTGGAGGGTGAGGTCCCAGGAGGCGGAGATGAGGAGAGCTGCGAGGTCTGGTTAGAGGGCGTGTCTACAGATTGGCAGGGCGGTGACATCACTTACAGTGCTCCGGGCTGTAGACTACACAACGTGCAGGTGCGCTGTGCCGCGCAACGACTTGCTTCTCTTCTGTCTCGAGGTCGATCCTAGATTTAAAGCGTCAGTTTTGCCAAATGGCCAGAGAGAGCTTCGTAGGTCCCCGTACTTGTAGACGCAGTGATCTAAACACGCCGCGTAGGCCTCGTTGTCTGTGGCGCCAAACGTTACGTCGAGGACGGGCGCCCGGAACTCAATGGCTTTGATAAGTACGCCTGGCGCATCTTCGATTCCACTGTGTGTGTCGTAGAGGTAGATCTTCTTGTCCCAGCATGACACCAGAAGCCTGGTGGGCGACTCGGGCGCATACGAGAGCGAGGAGATGGCGTCGCTAGGCGGTTGCGCCAGCTCGAATTGGGATGCTGTCGAAGTATTAGTAATTGGTCAATGTTGTTAGAGTGAAATTTGAGGTCTAGGTCCTCCAAGAACTCACCAGGTGCCATTTTGGGGTTGTTGTTCTGGTGTTGTTGAAGCTCTTACGGTGAAGTAGCTCTCGGCGCCTCTAACAACAAGCAGCTCTGGGTGTACCTGGATGTTAGCTTCTGGGGTCTGTTTACCTGAACAATTTGGTTGGAGGGGCGCTCACGTGGCGATAAGCGAAGCAGAGCTTATCGGCCGAATCAGCACAGATTCTGCCAGGGACTACCGCCCCGAAAGCACCCCCCACCATTGTTCGGATTTCTGCGATTTGTGAACCGCAGTAGCAAAATTGTGACTCGATCGCCCAATCACCAACGTAACGCCGCTCACCCCCAAAAGTTGCTTTTCGACGTCGCCCCCGAGCAACCGATCCCACCGCAAGCGATATCGAGACCAAAGAGTAGGCGAAATCTCCACCGAACACAGAGAAACAAGCTATCCAAAGACTGGAGGAACGTGTAAAAAGCCCGCGCGCCTTCTTTCGCACCCCGCCCCTCCTCCACACCTTTCGGCCGACCACCTTCAACAACACCACCCAACCGCCACCACCACCCTTCGTACTCGACGACTTCGAGCACCAGTAGCCAAGATGGCGGAACCGAACTACAGTCACTTTCGATACTTCGAAAACAAGTACCCCGAGATCGATGAGTTCGTCATGGTCAACGTCAAGCAGGTTTGTGCCCCGCCGGCCCAACGCACATGGCGAGCCGAACCGACCAAACCCACCCGGTCGCCGTGGATAGGAAGCGTACAAGAGAGAGGGAACGTCCAGGTCTGACTGGTGATATAGATTGCCGAGATGGGTGCCTACGTCAAGCTTCTCGAGTACGACAACATTGACGGCATGATTCTGCTTTCCGAACTTTCGAGACGTCGTATCAGAAGTATCCAGAAGCTCATCCGTGTGGGCCGTAACGAGGTTGTCGTCGTCCTGCGTGTCGACAAGGAGAAGGGTTATATCGATCTTTCCAAGCGTCGTGTGTCGCCAGAGGATATCATCAAGTGCGAGGAGCGGTACAACAAGGGCAAGATGGTCCACTCCATCATGCGCCACGTCGCCGAGAAGACCCTTACCCCGATCGAGCAGCTCTACGAGACCATCGCATGGCCCCTCAACAAGAAGTACGGCCATGCGATTGACGCCTTCAAGCTGTCTATCACGTGAGTTGGAGACTATCTGCAGCTATGGCAAGAGGAAACAAGAATACTGATGCGTAAGGATAGGAACGTCGAGGTCTGGAACGACGCCACCTTCCCCACCGAGGCCGTCTCCGAGGAGTTGAAGTCATATATCGCGAAGCGTCTCACCCCTCAACCCACAAAGGTCCGTGCCGACGTTGAGGTCACCTGCTTCGGATACGAGGGTATCGACGCCGTCAAGAACGCCCTGCGCACCGCCGAGGCGCGCAACGACGACCAGACCCAGGTCAAGGTCAGACTCGTGTCCCCCCCTCTGTACGTCCTGACCAGCACGTGCCTGGACAAGAACCTCGGTATTACCCGCCTCGAGGAGGCCATTGTCGAGATCCGCAACAGTATCGAGGCTGCCGGCGGTTCATTGGTGGTGAAGATGGAGCCCAAGGCCGTTACGGAGAACGATGACGCCGAGCTGCAGGCCCTCATGGAGAAGAGGGAGCGCGAGAACGCCGAGGTCAGCGGTGACGAGAGTGTCTCCGAGAGCGACGACAACCCGGAGGTTTAGATTTTTTCTCTGGAGTCAACGTCATCACAACAAAAAAGGGGCAGCTGGTAGAATGAGCGTACTGGCAGGCTGGGAATCCAGAGTGATTCTAATGAGACGACCAAAAAAGAGTCTAAGCATTTCAAAACTTATTTCCCCTGGCTGATTGTGAGTGAGCAACGGACTGGTGCTAATAATGGACGTCTTTGTAAGCATTAAGTTCCGCTAAACTTGCTACAAGATGGGGCACTCTACTATAACAGCGAGGGAACGAGAATGACCACTATAATCAACCAAATTGACGATGGCAGCTTTCCCCGCATGCGATTGACGGCTCGGCGTAGAACAATCCTCAGTAATGGTTCCGTCGACAACGTTGTCCTTCGATGACCGTATATTCAAAATGCACTCATAGAACAATGCTTGGGTGCTTGCCATCTGGTCGGAACGGATGTTGGTATTATTATTGCGGTGAAAAGGCTGTTTGACGTCCCGCGTAGCAGAGGGAGCTACCTACTAACGGTGTATGTAACTGGAGACTTACATGTGAGACGAGATGGACGAGGGCAAGAACGAGTGACAGTTCATCCTACCAGGTACCATGTTACCAAAACCTTCATCCGATAAAATTTCCCATCACCTGAATACACACAGGAGGCCCCATATAGGTCCCTCCAATTCCATTCCGATCACCAGCCAGGAGGCGCCCGTCTAGGTCGACGGGTCAGGTCAAACTGGCTGGGTGGTGGAGTGGTTTATGGTCAACAATCAAATCGCCAACCAGCCTACTCGACGACGGGCTAAGCGCATACGAGTTCGAATCCCAGCATGAGCACTAAAAATTTCCCAGCATGAGCACCAAGAGATGTAGCCCCCAAATCAGCACCGGGTGGGGTGAACTCTTTTTTGGGATCTGATGATGCTGCTTGTCGTTATGACTCTACTTTGTGGACTTGACCATTTTCTTCTCGTCCGTTGAGTGCTAATAGCAACGGCCACCTGTATGGAGATATAGACGACTCGGAAGACGAAGCTTGGGCAAGTTGAGCAGAGGCAAGATCGCCCCGTAAAATCAGCACTATTGGTCATCATGCCTTCCTCTTTCTAATTCAATTTCCTTACTCGTCACTTATCTTTGAGTCCTGTCTCTTTGTTGTGCAAAATACAAGGAATTGTCTCGTAGAAAAGAACAAAAAAAAACATGAAGGGCAAAAAGATCGCATTGTGTATGATTGAGTTAAGAATGGAAGGCTTATTACAACATTCGGTTGTTGTTGACAGCGAGCATTGAATCCGATAAGATAAGAGATTAGATAAGAACATGAGATGATGGAGAGCTCGAAACCTTCCTCGCGACTATTCCACCTTCTCACCTGTGAGAAGGTGCTGTTCCCAAGGCACACACAGCGCGGCAAACCTCCGCGACAACCTGAGAATATTCTGCGCCCATGGCTTCCCGTTCGCTATGGGCGCGCGCACGAGGGAGCTTTCTCGGTGACACCACGCTCCGGCTGCTCGGGCTTGCGACCTGGATCCCGGTCGTGATCACTTTCAACGACCATGTCGCAACCATCACGAGCATCAGCGGCGGCTCCATGTACCCCTACTACAATGAGGATCGCAATACGACGACGGCAAACGACATGGTTCTCAATTGGAGGTGGAAACCCTCCTACGGGCTCCAGAGAGGCATGATTGTTACGTTAAGGTACGTTTTCACTGGCCCTCTGTACCCCCCCCAATTATCAATGTTGAAAAGCTGGGCGGCGAGCTGACCCTTTTTGCTTGCTTTTCGCAGGAGCCCCTTTCATCCCGAGACTGTAGCGATCAAGAGAGTTGTCGCGCTGGAAGGCGAATATGTTACGACGAGAGCACCGTATCCGGAGAGAGTGGTTAGGGTACCGCAGGGCCATATTTGGGTGGAAGGGGATGGGCCGCAGGATCAGACGCTGGACAGCAATACGTACGGTCCGATATCCATGGCGTTGGTGACGGGGAAATGCGTGTGGAATATTTGGCCTTGGCGTAAGTTTGGCCGCGTGAGATGGGAAGAACACAAATTCAAGGATAGATACTAAAGTGGGAATGGCTTCGTGTATGAATAAGCATGTGAGCGGGATACCTGTGAGGAAACCCTCGATTCGGGCTGCAAGGTCTTTTAAAGTTTATGTATAGTATGAAGCAGTCAATGACTGTACCTTCATCTTGAAATCCCGCTTGGATTTTGATGATTGATTCCACTGGCCTCTTAAGTCTGGGTGATCTTGGAATCCCGCCACTTTGAAGCGGCGCGGGCTGTCCCGCGTTGCAGCTCGGAGCTCTCGGGACCGGGCTTTCAGCTCAGGGCCTCATGTACTCCGTAGGTAGGTAGGTAGGTCCGTGATTCAGTCGACACTTCCAGCTGATGAAAGAGACGGGAGCTCACCCGACAGTGACGCAGCGGGAGAACAGCATTGCATGTGGTCTGTGCACCGCCAACAAAAATTCCAGAGTCGCTGGAACCCTGCATGAAATTTCGATATCATTATCTGCAGCTGCTGCTCCTCCTCGCCGCCGCCAAGTTTTCGCCTGCGCCAATTAACCCACGCGACAATCAACGACGAGGAGGCCTCTCCTTCAAATTCCCCTCGAAAATCCTACACTGCGTTGTTGTTCCTGTCGTCCCGCAGCGGGAACCCAACCGTGTCAACGCCGAATCTCTCTCCTCCCCCTTCGACATCGAAACCGACCGACGTCAGCATTTTAGGACCGAGAGGGACCGAACCCTTGACGCAGACCGGAGAGTGCCTGGTCAATCTACGACAGGCACCACTCGCAAATGTCTGCCGCTGATCGCATCGTCAGCTACCTAGCTCCTGCCGACAACAACGCGCAAACGATTCAGGGGGGCATCTCGGCTTCGACCCCGGCGGCGGCGGCCTCGTTCGAGGAGGATAGATATGCGGTACAGACGGGAGGACTTTTGCCGGATATCAGAACAGTCGGACATTCATTCAGAGAAAAGGACATGAGTCTTCAAGATGACTCTTTCGAAGAGGAGGGCCGCCCGCCTTACCTCCACGCCATGATTGCTGGAGGTGTAGGAGGTTCGACGGGCGACATGCTCATGCACTCCCTGGACACGGTCAAGACGCGGCAACAGGGCGACCCGCACATCCCGCCAAAATACACGTCTCTGGGCTCATCCTATTACACAATATTGCGGCAAGAGGGCATCCGACGAGGTCTTTATGGCGGATGGATACCGGCTTTGGGTGGTTCTCTTCCGGGCACGATGATGTTCTTTGGGACGTATGAATGGAGCAAACGGTTTCTCATCGACCACGGTGTGCAACAGCACCTGGCCTATCTCACAGCTGGTTCGTTGATCCTTGCGCTCTGCTATCGAGAGGCATCTACTAACTGACTGTTATCAAGGCTTTCTCGGAGACTTGGCTGGCTCCATCGTTTACGTTCCATCCGAGGTGTTGAAGACCCGCTTGCAGTTGCAAGGACGCTATAATAACCCTTATTTCAAATCGGGCTACAACTACAGAGGCACCGTTGATGCGGCGCGGACGATTGTCCGTCATGAAGGACCGGCTGCGCTCTTTCACGGTTACCAAGCAACACTGGCTCGTGACCTCCCATTTTCCGCACTTCAGTTTATGTTTTGGGAGCAGTTCCACGCCTGGGCGCGCACCTACAAGCAGAGCAGAGATGTCGGTGTGCCGCTGGAGCTCCTTACCGGTGGTCTTGCCGGCAGCTTGGCCGGTATCATGACATGTCCTCTGGATGTCGTCAAGACGCGTTTACAGACGCAAGTACACCCTGATCTTTTGCCCAAGGAGGCGAAGCCGGTAGCCAAGGGCGCCGCGCACGCCTCAACGTCAAAATCCCAAACGCGCAATATCTCAACGTCGTCACCCTCGACGCATACTCCGCGACCAGGTGCAGTCAACTTGCAGACTTCATCCGTTATCGAAGGTCTCAAGGTCATCTATCAGACGGAGGGTATCAGCGGATGGTTCAGGGGCGTGGGTCCCCGTGGCGTCTGGACTTTTATTCAGAGCGGCACCATGCTGTTCTTGTACCAACGCATTCTCAAGTCATTAGAGACTTGGGATCCACCAGTGGAAGAGCAGGAGCGCGCCATCTAAAGGAGGATTTGGAGCTTGGGGCTGGAACGGGTGATACCAGGGTTGGATGGAGAAACAAAAGGACATTGTACAAACAACCCCCTCTGTACACTTTGTAAGGATAAACATGGGACTGGCGTTTGACGGCATAGTAGAGGGACATGGTGTCCGATAGAGAGCTGATAGAGCGAAAGACAAGTCTCACTTCAAGTGCTGATCTGATTTACAAAGAGCTGAAGTCAACGTATGCGATGTGGCTTGAAGTCGTTATTCTCAAAGAGACTGAATCATCACAAAGCCCACTTGAGTCAAGTGTCGTAGGTATTGTGATAGTATACCTAGCTAGCTGAGGTATATCTCAAAGCGAACGAGCTCTCGAGTGAAAGACATGTGAGAGAGGCTGCAATGAAGTAAGGTTTCCAGGTTGGTTCCCTGGGATGACCAAGCTCCAGTTGTCAAATGCAACAGCCTGCACTACCTTAAGGTACCTGCCTGCCCCGCCAGGTTCTAGCCCGAGTACCTAATCAATGGAGGGACTAGACCCCTGGCTACCCGCTGAGACCCCCTGTGTGACGACAGACCGAGCTTCCATGGCTGACGCGGGGTGTGCTGAAGCTTCCCTGGTGCAGCTCTCAAAATTTCGACCTTTGAAACACGCGCCTCGCGACAGGAACCAAGACCTCAGATCTCTCCCATTGTTCACGACTCCTACATCCACCACACCACCGATCCAACCAAGCACCCGCTTCACAGCTTAAATACACAACGAAACTTCACGTTCGAATTGAAAGGACGTTCCAATGGCCTCCGAATCAGGCACACCCCCTCCTCCACGGGAGCCGACCCCGGGCGGCTCCCTTCCTTCTTCGACTGCAATCCCCTTGAAGAGACCAGCTCTCGAAGAAGATTTCACTCCTTCTGTACCTTCGCCACTCAACCCCGACGTCAGATCTACACCAAAACCATCAGGCGTCGACGAGATGCCAGCAAAGCGCAACAAGAAGGAGTCGCTGAAGAAGCGCGAGTCCAAGGGTGCCTTTGGCGGCGACAGCAACCGTGGCACGCCGGACCCTAAGCATCGTGAACCTAAGCAGTCCGACTACAGTCCGATGCGCTACAAGCTGGCGCCTCCTAAGCCTTCCGACTTTGAACCTGCTCGCGGAGCCAGCTTCACTCATCACCATGACGTCCCTGCTTTGGACGGAACCGAGATCCGGTTCTACGAGACGTCGGAGCAGTGAGTTTACCGACCAGCTCTATGCGCCTGATTGAAAATGCTAACGATACCAAAGTGTTCACAACAAGAAAAGCTACCACTACACTCACTGCATAGCGGACCCCGGGTTCCCCTCGGCACTATACTACCGCGGTACCGAGGCAGAGCCCACGGGACCTCATCTCAGCTTCGAGGACAGCGCAACTCATCTGTTCTTTGACCGGACGGGCCTCCATATTACTACGAACAAGGGTTTTCGCATGACGCGTGCGAACGTCGCAATCCGAGAGGGACGCTTTTACTGGGAGACCAAGATTACAAGAGGAATTGTCGACAAGACGACCAGAGATGAGAAGCCCGAATCGCATGGCCATGTGCGCATGGGTTTCGCGAGAAGAGAGGCGACTCTGGATGCGCCGGTTGGATTTGATGCGTACAGTTACGGTGTGCGCGACGTCGGCGGCGAGAAGGTGTACATGTCACGACCCAAGGCCTTCTTCCCCGAGGGAGAGGGCATCCGGGAGGGCGATGTCATCGGCCTGGAGATTCAGCTACCCTCGGAACGATTGCAGCGCAAGGTCCTGGCTGGTCAGTACAACCCGGCTGTTGATACCGGCTTGGACGATGACAGCACAAACTTTGATGCGCCGAATATCGTCCGCGATCGTATCCCGATTCGCTTCAAGTCGCACATCTACTTTGAAAAGATTGACTACCACACAACCAAGGAGCTCGAGGACCTCATGAACCCCTCGCCCGTCTCCTCTGGTCCCGCCAACTCGGTCGAAGCGCCCAATCCTAACCACGCCGTTCCCGCCCTCCGCACGCTTCCCGGATCCTTTATCAAGGTGTACAAGAACGGCGTTCTCATGGGCACCCCGTTCACCGACCTCCTGGCCTTCCTGCCCCCGGCCTCCAAGCCGCAAGGACAAATCGGCGCTCGCGAGGGCCTCGACAACGGCATGCTCGGCTACTATCCCGCCGTGAGCGTCTTTAGAGGCGGTGCTGCCGAGGTCAACTTTGGCCCCGACTTTTGGTTCCCGCCTCCCGGGCTTGAAGACGGTCCCGACGACAATGAGGTCTCGATGATCGATGCCGGACAGGAAGATTCCAAGAATCCGGCGCCGTCGTCGTCGGTGCCCGCGTACCCTGGTCTGAATCAGGTGCGGCCCGTCTCCGAGCGGTACACGGAGCAAATTGTTGAGGATATCGTTTATGACATCATTGACGAAGTCGACTTCTGGATCCAGGATGGCTGCAAGGTCATTGATCGTTTCGGCGGCCAGGGCGAGAAGGCTGGCCAGACGGGCAGTCTTGCGGCTGGTGGACGTGAGGAGATTAAGGAGTTGGTTCAGGATGACTGAAGGAGATGCTCCCCCGATGGAGGAGGCAATGTTGAGAGATACAGTAGGCGATTCTTATGATTTTCGCTCCGGAAGATACCCCAGACAGACTCTTTGGTATTACAAAGGTCTTTGCGCATTCCAATTCATAGCTGTACATTATACTATCAAGGGGGGCGAGGAACATTTAGTGGGATCAATGTCCCTCTCTACATACAGGCCTCTAATTTTTCCAGAGGAGATAGTTGAACTCGTTAAAAGGAGTCTTGGGCAGGTCATTACAAAACGAGAATGAGTGTATTTCACCCTCACATCCTTGGGGTTCTCATCCTGTGCCCATCCCATTTCATACGTCATTTCCAGTCGTTCGTCGCAAAGTAAAGGAGACGCAAGCCATAAAGATCATTAAACATGAAGAATGATGAAATAAAAAGAGGTCGGTCAACTTCCAGAGCACGCGGCCACCCCTTCTTTTTACTTCCTCGTCGACCTTCGTCTCGGGGAATCGGGGCCAGGCGACGCCCGTCGCTGAGGCGTCGTCCTTCCGGAACTGTGTCGTCCGCTCCGCCGGCTGCGTTCGCTCCGCTGGCTGCGTGGGCGATCTGATCGCACCGGCTCGGTGCGTGAGCGCGAGGGCCCCGCCATGAGGGCCGGGTCGTCGGGGAGTTCCTCGATGCGGCCGGTGCCGTCGATGATCTCGGGCGCGTTTTCGCGCTTGATGCGTTCTTCGCGGCCGCGCTTGTGGCAGTACCACAAGACGAAGAGGAGGACTTTTGAGGGGTAGTTATGTTAGTAACGTATTCGTGAAACTAGAACAGGGAGGGGCAAAAAGACTTACGGAATATGGAAACGCTCCAAATGACGTTTGCGCCGATAAACGCCGGCCAGCGCAGCTTGAGCGCGTTGACGATGGCCTTGAGCATGCCCACGACGGCACCCGGTTTGGTGACGAGGTCCGCGAAGCTAGCGGGCGTGAACATCTTCTTCGCGGCGCCCTTGATCCCTTCCTCGGCGGCGAATTCCGCGTGGTTGATGCCCTGGGCCTTCGCGGCGGCCGCGAGGACCTCGGGCCCCAGGCTGGCGGTGAACTTGTCCGGCAGCTGGGTGACGAGCTTCTTCATGCTGTTGGGGAGCTTGTCAAACGTCTTTGCGAGGGTGCCGTCGCGGTCCTCGACGAGGGCCTTGAGGTCGTCCGCGGCGGTGGGCACGCCGTTGACGAGGTCTTTTAGGACGAGGGTGAATTTGGAGACGAGCTCGGAGGATTCTGCGGAGAGGGGCACGGCTTTGTTGTTGCGCGCTGAGAGGTTGAGGTCGTCTAGGACGCGGGAGAGGTCGTCTTCTTCGCGGGCGGCTTCTTTGGGTGGGATGTTTGCCTTTGTTGGGGCGAGTTGCTTGTCCTTGTCTGTTCCCTTGGCTTTGTTGAAGAGGAAGGCGATTTTGCTGGGGATTTTGGAAGCGCCCGACGCGGCGGCGTCTTTGATGTCTACCGCTACTGTCGCGGCTTTCTTGGGCGTCTGCTTTTCAGTAGCGGCGGTGCGCCGGGACTCGTCAGAGTCTTCCCAGGTGTACTCTGGCGTCTTGCTGCGCGGGGGCAGCGCGGGCCGGACGCTCTCGTCGTCCGAGTCAACATCGTTTGCGTCGGCGAGGATTCGTCTAAAGAAGGCCTCATCTTTGCGGTTGAGGAGGGGTGCGGGGCCCCCGCCTCCCGTTGCTGCGCTTGCTGTCGTTGAGACGGACTGCGAGCTCGTCTGGCGTCGGGTTGGCGATGGTCGCGAATCTGGGTGAAGCTTGCCTGCTGATGATGAGGGTGCTGGCGATCCGTTGTTGTGTTCGCGCTCGACTTCTGCTGCCTCCTTCTCGGTCTTGTACTTTTTGAACTTCTTGTAGCTCAGGTATTCCAACATCTTGGGCGATGTAGGTGAGGTTTCTCTAGCGAGAAATCGACAAGGTCCAAGGGTGGCGTACTAGTTGACCCAGAGTCGTGATCTGGCTTTCAAAGAATCACGGCGAAGAAAGTATAGTGTCTTGTAGACGTAGATGCAAGAGCGTTGTAATGAGGCGGTCGGAACCGGTTTATTTTATTGCAACGGCCAAGCGCTTGTTCTGTATCACATGCGGTCTGGGCCTGGGCCTGGGCCAGGGCCCTGCACTCTATCTATCATGCGGCGTCATGTCGTGCAAGCTCATGTGTGGGATTGGTTGAGCGGGCAAGCTGGGGTAGCTCGCACAGCCACATGTGATGTCACCCTTGGAGCGGCCTCCGGTGTGGCGGTGCAGTTAGAAAAGAGTGGAGACCCGGATCCAGCTGCCGGTTCGCTTAAGAGCGGTTGTTTGAGGTTGCGCCGGAGGCATGCAATGGAAGAGCATGAATGATCACCGGTTCAGATTTCGCCTCTTTTGTTGGGGCTAAAATGGAGAAATGAAGAACCTCTGAGAGCATTGCGGCTCATCCAGTCTCCTTTGACAGCTGTCTTGGACGATATGTAGTATGCTATTGGTAAATATTGAGTGGTTCGGCTGAGTTAGCCGCCATCATGGGGTATCTTTCGTGAAAACTGCCCTTCGCATCCCAGGTATAGAGCTTCCGCGTCTTTCTCTATGCTTCATCATGCCTCATCCTCGCCGTCTTCTTCTTCCTCACCGTTTTCGTGCATGATTTCGTCTGCGGCATTGCTCTTCCTGCCACCTCCACTCCTCCGACAGCCCCTTTGGTACGCCTCTGTGCTAGTCATGGCCTGCTCTCCCACATAATGTTCCCCATCCCAGTCCTTTGAGCACTTGGGGCACTTGTGACTCCGCTGGGTGCGCCAGTACCCTTCTTGGCATGTGTTGTGCAGGCGCGCGTTACAGTCTCGTTCCGCGCACCTTTGTCCGACTGTGACGATCTCCCTGCACGCCTCGCAGAACTTGATGCGCTGCCAGTCTTGCGCCGCCGCGTCGGGGTCGTTGAACGAGTCAATCAGCCATGCTCGGAGCTCGAGCAGCGCTCGCGGGCTGAGGCTGTAGAAACCGTCCTTGGACTTCTCCAGCCAGCCCTGATTCACCAGGTTCGCCAGCATGTCTTCTACTTCGCTATGCTTAAGTCCCTTATCTGAGGAAGACTGCGTTTGCGTGGGTTCTCCGTTCTCGTCGTTATTGTTGTTGTTCTGTCGTGGAGGGCGGGCCAGCTTAATAGCCTGCATCTCCGTGATGCACATGAGCTCCATCCGCGGGGAGTTGTACGTCTCGAACATGGCGTCTAATAGCCTCTTTGTGAAGGCAATCTGCTCGGCGTTGTACGTGGTCGCGAGTTGTGTCATGGGATCGGAGGCCGTGTTCACGAGAGCGTAGATGCGCTTCTTGGAGACTTGATGGATCGCGCTTCGTATTTCGTAGTCGAAGAAAGAGACGCCCTCGGCTGCAGCTTGCAGGTAGGAGTCAAAGTCCTCCATCGTGACCTGCTCGGGGGCGACTGGCTCGCCATCTTGGGCTTCAATGGTGAAGATCCCGGCTAGGATAGGTTGTGCGTCTTCGTAGGTGAGGGTGCCCCGAGCCAGAAAGGCTTGGAGGAAGGCACGGTTGCCATCATTGTAGTGTTCTCGGACGATGTTCATTTCGGCGTGGTAGGGCTTAAGACTGAATCGTGTATCTGGGGGGTTGATAGAATGACATAACGGCCGTAGTTGGATTGTACTAGAGGCTTTTCGAGTCGGTAAGGTTTTCGCGGGGGAAGCGTCTAAACGCGTCCAAGACGCGCTTCGCTGGCGAGGAATTAATTGAAAGCCAGAGCTTCTGGAGACCCCACCGTGCCTTCCACCGAAGTGGGGCCGGATTGGAAAATGGGGCCATCGGTGAGCCACAAAGTGGCTGGAAAAGAGACTGCGGCACTTCGCCGGAGAATTTCCATCTTCTTGGAATGAGATCTTCCTTTCCCAAATTGCATTGCGCATCGGCCAGCGGGCAGGGCCTCTCCGTGGCTCTGGGTCCATTCTGAACGGGATCCTCGCTCCGAGTGGAGTTTCCAGATCCTTCAACCCCTGAACACCAACCTTCTTGCTGGGCAGCAGGCAGGAGAAGGGCATGGTGTGCATTGCTCACTTGGGCAGCAGCTGAAGTTCATTCCAGCGAACCTTGCTCTCTCTCAAGCTTACAAGACGCCACATGCCGACGACACGGCACTTTGCTGTGACTGCCGATCATACTCACACCCTCCGGGCTCCCTCCAAGGTTCAGCTTTAATACAGTCTTGACGGCCTCGCACTCGCTCTTCATTGGAGCCGGCTCACTCATCAGCACGTGGGAGTGGTCCGACCGTTACGCAGACTCGATATGCCTTAGATCCAAGATTGTGTCGCGCGGCAGACGTTCAGCAACCTTCCATCTAGCAGGAATGGCAGGACTGACACCACACGCCGTCGGCCTTTCATCTCAATAATCTGCGCCTCCGCGACTAAACCTGCTTCTTGGTTCAGCACTAGGATTCCGCAGCTTGCCTTCTTGGGTCCAACACCCGAAGCCACGTCCGTCGCTCGGGCTAGATTGGGCAGTGGTTTGAGGGCCTTTCGTGTCCATTTCTGACTCAGGAGGACCAAGATTAATACAAAACCACTAGCCCCAATCACCTTCATGGATCACCCTGTCCTCCTATGAGCCCAAGCACCGAGCACTTGGTAGGCGGCATGCTCCCCTGCCATCGAACTCAGCTCAACAATGAGATGATATGATGAGCATCGTATCGAACTGGTGGAAACTTTGACATGTTCGGACCTTCCATTAGGGGGTCTTGACTTCCAGAAGATAGAGAATGTGTTTTTCAGCCACCGACTGACTCGAATTCGCCGTTGACAAACAGCGCAGCCAATCCCAATGGCATCGCATTGCTGGAGGTTACCATACGCAGTATGTTGCCTCCCATCGGCCCGGTCGCCTCTGCCGGGTTGAGGCTGGTCCGGGAGACCCCTCCGCAACGTCCGTCCGTCCACACACCCTCAGTCGGCAACGAATCTTGCCTCGAGTACGCGCCTCCACTTACCAGACATGTTTCGAGCCATCGTTGCCTCAAACCCCAGCGACGAGTGTGGTTGGTCTCAATGTGGGAGGCGGAGAGTTCGGTCGAACTCGTACGTTGCCATGCCACTTAACCTCTAGCAGCCCTTAGTTTGACACTTGGCCGGCCTATGGACTTGTATTCCGCAGCAGTTGCGACGACGCTTGCGCACTGCTGCTTCGGCCTAACCCACGCAAACTAGTGATGTCTTCTATTAGACGGAGCGTGGCGTCCAACGTTTTCATCTCGGGTCGAGAAGCCACCGAGTCTGTGGTCGGCAGATGCCGCCAGAATCGCACCCAGAAGCCAGCTAGAATGCCGTTACAATGTCAATCTGTCTCGCCTTGACATAACCAAATGGACAGCCTCCGAAGCCATCCAACCTGAGTGTAATATTGTTCTGGAGATCGCCTTCGCACACTATCGTGTTTCAACCCTTATTATCCACCCTACAACAAGGTAGAACTCTTCATTACCATCGCGAGCGGCCCCGCCACCACCCCCTCGTAGGATCCCCAGCCAAGACATTTCTAGTCCGCCGGCTATACGCTGTAGGGGGGGCTTGGTGTTCTCAAGTCGGCCCAAACTCCCTTGCCTTGTCTCTGGAATGCTGGGAAGTCCCATCTCGTCATTTTACCGCCTGCGCCTGGGTAGCACACCTCATATCGTTGCGAGCACCTGAACAAGGTTCGTCGGCGCTTGTGTCCAAGCCGACCGATCTTGGGTTCCCTTTCCATTACTCTTCAAGTCGGGTCCGGGGAGACAACCTTGCGTCGATCGCAGGGGGCGGTAAGATCTCTGGGCCGCATGATAAACATGGCCATGCCGTTGCTTGCTCCCCGGTTCTTAATTGCTTCTTTCTCCTCGTCCCCCGTCACCTTGTTCCCTGCCCGTGGTCAACAGCTCCGTATTCATGTCTGGCCTACTGGGCCAACATCCAAGGGGGTGATATGGCCATTCAGCTGCCTCAAGAAGAGCTAGGCACAGCTATAGGAATGCTCGTTTACTCCTTGTTCTGCCTAGCATGCAGTGTTCTCATGGCATGTCTGGTGTATACCCATCGTGAAGGTCTCAGCTGTAAGTAGCTTTGGTTGTGAACCCAAGAGGTGACTCAGACACTAACTTGCATCCTTCGTGAACAGACGTCGCCCTGGTATCATATTTCACTGGTTTGTCGACGGCTGCTTCTGTAGCTCAGCAGATTCACACGATTGTTCGATGGAGAGACATCAAGCTTGCACAATTCAAGCATTCAAACGCCAATGTTGGCAATCCTGAGCTTGCCATCGCCGGCCAGTCAACTGGTCTAGACCTTGTACTTTTCTATATCCGTAAGATCCAACTCGTCAACAAGCTCCAAGTCTGTCTCTGACAAAACCCCTACAGAGTTCTACAGCTACAATGTTGAAGCAGCCCTGACCTTCTTCTGGGCTGTTGCTCTTACTCAATCGATCTTCCAGTTGGAGCCCGTAAAGTCCACCCGCAAACGAGTTAACTACGTTGCAAAAGCCTTTGCTATTTTGCTGCCCGCGATCTTGATGGGGATCCTACGACTCGAGGCTGTCCAGAAACAGACAGTGCCCTTTTTGGTTTTGGCTGATGGTATCAGTAAGTCTCCTTATTCAGTTATTCAATGATTCCATCTAACTCTTTGCCCAGTGGGTTTCTGTCTGAGCGGCAGCGGAGTTCTGCTCATTGTCATCTTGGTCAAATACATTCACACGCGCCGAAACCTTCTTTCCTGGAATGTCCAATACGGGCAACGCTCCAATAGCTCGAAAAGCAGCGACACGCTCGTCTTCGATAGCGGCAACGAAACACGCCGCCGAAGTATCTACGATCGGTGGCTTGTTGTACGATTCAGCATAGCTTTCGTTGCGTTAGCGTGAGTACAGCCTCAACTGGTGTCCCCAAGCCTCAAAGTCTGTCGTATGGGTCAATGAAGCTAACCGGGTGGTTTTTCCTTCGAAAAAGTATATTCCAGGTGGTAACCATTATGTTTCAAGTTTCATCCGCAAAACAAAATTCTCGCGACTCTTTGAGCGAGAGCCCGGACCTCAGCACGGAACGACTGCATTTGGACCTCATAATTTTCCTGCCCGGCGTATCCGCTAGCCTGCTGACGTTTGTCGTTTTTGGCACGACCAAGACGTTTCGAGATTACCTGGTGGCACGACTCGTTCCGAGGCGGCTCCGCGAGAGGAATAGTAGGAGGATGAGCAGCAACCGCCAGCAGCAGCGACGCAACACCCGCACACGAATGTCGCAAGCGTTTTCTTCGAGGATGGGGATGGGGAGGAGGGGCTTGACGTATCCGCCACGAATTTCCTTGACGCCGTACGTTTCGGACGATGCCGGCTTGTACACGCCTACGGCCAATGGGAATGGGATTCAGCTGAGGGAGCTGAATATCGATGGCTCGAGAAAGGTCGCCGAGGACGACCAATGGCCGCTTGTTGGGTCTGATGCGTCTGACACGTCTGATGGGCCCGCGAAACCTGTAAATGTGTATTTGTACCCGAAGCAATAGTTTTACGAGTTATGATCGAAATGATACCACTTGGGCTAAAGGCCCGTATTGATTCACTTTTTGCTAGATTCTTTGAACCTGGTGTGCGGGTAAATGGGTCAAGTCGGGGTCTCGTCAACCCCCTCACGAGCAGATGAAGTAACCCGGATGACTGCCCGGCGGTGCGGGGCTTGAACCTCCGCGTCCTAAATCATCAACATCTGGGGGTGCCTAGATCTGGGGTAAGAGAGGGCAGAGACATCATCGACGATCAGAGTCATAAATCGCCAGCCGTTCTTGCTCAAGCACGACGCCGCATTCGATATAGGCCCCCCAGCCACAGTTACACAAGGTCATGACAGATTTCCCAGTGTCTTATATGACACGGAGATTCAAAGAGCTCACGACACACACATTAGGGGGATTTGTTACTACGATCTAGCGGCCAAGCCATGCCTTAGAAAGAAAACAGTCCAATCCAACCCCCTTCCATACCGTGTATCCCAAGGTGGCCTTGGCGAGATTGTGTAGAGCCAGCCAGCCGTTGGCCAGAACAGTCGATTTTCTCACGAGTCAAGAATCCCATCATTTTTAAAGATACCGCTGCCGCCGCCTTCCACATTCAGTCGTTGTGCGCGCTTGTGTGTGGCATGTGTAATCTTTTCAGAAATTGCCCGCAAAATCTTATGTGAATAAAGGTGGTGGTGGGTGTCACGGTCCTTGACCCAGATCTCTGGATTTGTTCCGAAGTGGCTGTCAGGTCAGAGGGATGCCACCGCGAGTCAGAAGAAGCTTCCTTTAAACTCCCTTGATTCGGTAGTTCCTTTGATGAGAGACATTTACATCAGTGCGTTGATTTGAAGTCTGAGAAGTACCGAAGAATGGGGGATGTCTGACTTTAATTCTGATGTCGATGATTTGACTGTTATCGATGCTGTCTTCCCGATCAGTGCCAATATTGCCGTTGAAGCTACACGAAGCCTCTTCACAACTTTGACTGTGAGTGATTCTAATAGTTGCATCTTAATACAGTTTTACTTCTCAGGCTGAGCAACAAAACCCAGATACGGAAACTGCTCCCGTACAGAACAAACTCGACTTCTTTGCCCGAAAACTTCCTTTGGCCGAGTGATTGAGATCTTCAAGATCTGGCAACTTGACAACCTGCAAGAACCGTTTGTATAATAGCCAGTACAATACCAGCACCTCCTACCCACAGGACTGCCCAAAATGTATACCACTGCAGGGGATTCCTGCGATCTCTCCAAAGATCCGTCAACCGGCGAGGCTTCTGGCGCAGGCTGAACCTCTGGAGATTGATCAGGCGATAGCCCAGCCGTGGGAAATCGCTCTGGGCGCTGTAGACGTCGCTCTCCAAGAGCGTCTCCTTCTCAAAGTCTCTACATCCCACCGGCCAGATGTTGCGCGGCAGTTTGTCGACCTCCTTCTTCGGGCCGCAAAGAGTATGTAGTAGGGTGTCGAACGGCTGGCCACTTTTCTCCAGCTTCTTGAGATCCGACCTGATGATCTTCCTCGACCGAGCGCTCTTTCCGAAGAGGAGGCGATAAGAGACCAAGACCTCTTGTTCCAAAGTGACGTAGTTCTGGTACCGGTTCTCCGCGGAAGTCGGCATGAATCCTTCGTTAATGCTGCTCATAACCTCGTTAGAACGGCTATTAGGAGGTTGCATCCATGAAAGTGTGCTTACCTATCGAGAACAGGAAGTGTTTCTTTTCCCTCCTTTCGCAGGGCAGACAAGACGCAAAATGTCGGGAATCGAAAGATGGAAAGATGTCGGCTGACCGGGTCGAACATGAGATGTTCACTTAGAGTGTCTACCCACTGGATTCTGATCCGCCCGAATAGCAGAACCTCAAGATTCAGACTGCCTTCGTATAGATTATCATTTTCCCCAGCCGAAGTATCCATGTTTGGAGGCTGATCGCCCCAAGCGTTGCGTCTGAATAACTCAAATACTCGTTTGATCGGCCGCTTTGCCTCTCTCAGGCTCTGCTTGATAATCCGACTGCTTATACTCGGGCCTTCGGTCAAGCTTGGAAACTTACATGCGAGTGAAGCCTGGGTGCCGGGAGTTTCCAACTCCAGCGATGGCTGAACTGTCAGGGTCAACCAGCACACTGCAGCGAAGACAGCCATCGATATATGAAAGTCCCCATCATCTCTCACATTTCCGTGTGAGGATACAATGTGATTTTTCAGCTCCTCTATACTAGCGTCTTTTTCTGCCGATTTCAAAGCAGCAGCTACCTCGTACATAAACTTCCAGTAACATTCTGTTTCTCCTGCCGTTGTGTCGAGAAACGACGACCACAAAGGTATGGAGTCTGAGCCTGATAGCGGTGGGAACTGGGATTCGATGTAGCCGCAGTACGCATTAATGCTCGGAAATTTGTCAACACTTTCCCTCGGAAGACAGAAAATGGTCCCCAAGGTTTTCAAGCGATGTTTAAACGAGAGCGATCTTTCTGGGGTTTGAGATTCTTGGCTTTGCATCTCCAAGTCAACTTCTGTCCTCGGCTTAGGTAGTGGTAACATCGAACGAAAGGTTGAAACTGTCCGCATATTGTCCCTATGTCCTATCAATATCCAAAACACTAGACAAAGCTCACGGGCCAATATCGCACGAACATTACGACCACTTTCGCGGTGTCTTTGATGAATATAGCCGAACAGAAACGTTGCTCGCTGCGGGAAAGGTATGGATTGACCGATAACTGCGAGTTCGATTATACTTTTATACACTATCAGACAGTAAGACAGCAAAGCCAAGGACTAGGCTGTTTCCTTTTGTGAATAAATAAGGGTTGTGGCTATTTGGCGGAGAGAGAAACGACTAGGCTAGAGGGATATTGTCCAGGTGCTGGGACAGAAACCGCCATGCTCTTTCCTTTAAACATGTGCCCGAATGAAGCCTACGAGCCAAGGATCCGGCGCTTACTTTGCCTAGGCCGTAAGCTGGGAGTTCTCGGTCATCTGCAAGAGAGAGAGAGAGAGAGAGAGAGATAGCTGCAGCTGAATGTTTAGCGATAGGCAGCAATAGGTTTTTGAAACCCTCTTGTCTCGGCTGAGTCACTTTCAACTTCCGAGGTACGTTTGCGAGGTATCACAGCAGCTTTAGAACTCCAATAACAATCTTGTTTGGCCTCAACCTCAAGAAAACCCAGTGATATCTCGGGCATCCGACTATTCCTGATCGTTGAAGCAAGTGTGGCGCCCAATCCTATAAGCGAGTGTGCGAGGGCTGGTCATAAGACTACAAACTAGCCACCGAAATTGATCGCCTTCTCACCTCCATTTCGCCCTCGTAAGATGATGTTGACGAAATTTCGTTCCGATTCTGTGGATGGGAAGCAGGCTGAGTGAGGACACACACACGGGGGCAACAAGTCCTACACCACTTCACAACCGAAATGGCATGATTTTTTGCAGTCCAGATCAGGCTATCCTATCATAAGCTCTCTTGGCTCAAAGGGGTATGTCATTTGACGCCGACCTTGGCAATGCATAGCAGCCTGTACCCCAAGTGCGTGTGCAAGCCCCGCACTTCTCGGTCGTTACCGAAGTTCTATGTGTCCGTCTCTACATGTATCCATTTCCAGTGAGAAGGCTTCATGTCAGGAAGGATCTCTCCACACGTCCTGAGACCAATTCTTTATATACTCACCAGGGCACTTCAAGTACAAATGCACTCTACTCGAGGAACTGCTGGATTGAAAAGATGGAGCGTTTAACAAGCTCGGAAATGATGTACAGCATGTTCAGGTCGATGTCCATGTCTAAATGGACGTTGCAGTCGTTTTTCTAGCTGACGGAAACACATAAGGTAAATGGGGACTTCCTGAAGTGTCACAAATCAAATACCTTCCAGTCATTGGATGGAAGTACCATGCCGCATTCGAGGCTTCAGGTCAGACCATATGTAGACGAGTGTGCCCTAAACCAACGAGAACTTTCTGTTCCCCAGTCCTGTCCCATCTACAGGCTATATCGAAGCAAGTCAACCAGCTTTCCCGATGGAGCTGTCTGAATTGTATGTTGGTCTTGTACGGTATCGGTTGATGTAACAGACTCTGACTGTGCACTAGGGAGGCTCATTTTGAGCGGCACTGGGCGTCTACTTCTACGTCGGGAGCCGACCGTATGGAACCAAATGATCGTCGGACAATCAGAAGTTTCAGAAATCTGGACGATGTGAACGAAAACGTTCTCACGGAGCTGGACGATACACCATCGGATTCCGCTGTCCAGGACCTAGATATGCTCCAGCCGCGACTGATGGACCTCAAAGGCTTCAGTGATTTCTTTTCCACGAGACTGGGACCTAAGCTCGACCCAAAGGCTTTTTGGGGTCTGATCGGGCTTGTTCTGACGGTAAGTCAGCATGTTGTCGACGTGGCGGAGCTAGATTGGGCTAACAAGATCGCAGATTGTCCTGCCTCACGAAGAAGCAATGAAACGAATCGCTCAAATGCTCAGTAAGCTGGGCTACTCTTGTGGAGACTTTCAATTACATGCACATCAGATTTCCAATCTCTCGACAGGAGAAAAGGAGGCATGCTTTGAGATCTTCGTATTGATGACGAGGTTCCTTTTGGATGTTGTCAGGTTTCTACGGGAAGCTGGAGATATTGACAATCTCTCCTACGGTCGTGGTATGATCTGAAAACCCCAGTAATGGTTGTGATTGTTAATTCATCGCAGGCTACGCGCAAGAGTCGTGGGTTGAATTGACGGCCACGTACGACAGAGCTCAGACCGATATTAACGAGCGGCTGAATCGCATCGAAAAGATGGCAAAGTTTGGGAAGAAACAGACCGCCCAGTTATCATTCCTTTCCAGCTCGCCTCGTTCCTTCGTTGACAGTGCCAAGTTGCCATGCTTCGTTCTACCACCTGCCAGTACGAATCGATTCTTCAACCGTGACGAAGTCATCGAGGAGATAGACAGCCAGTTTGAGGAGCAGAAGAAAGAAGGTCTGCGGTCGCTCGCACTCTATGGCATGGGCGGCGTGGGCAAGAGCCATGTCGCTTTGAAGTACATTGAGAAGAAGAAGGCAGAAAAAGGGCTACGTGCCATCTTCTGGATTCGCGCGGAGACTTTGTTCTCGGTCCAGGAGAGCTTCACCGACATTGCTCTTAGGCTAGAACTCAACGGGGCTGGAAAAACCTTGCATGACGAGAATCGACTACTTGTGAAGAGTTGGCTACAGGAGACGGGTCAGTCGGCAAATCACCTTGATCCCTGGAGGTTTGCTAACGCGAACAGAATGCAAATGGCTACTGGTGTACGATAATGTGGAGGATTTCGGTCTCCTGCGGGCTAATTGGCCCTCGCCAGGAAGTCAGGGGTTGGCACTTATCACGACACGGAATCACTCGCTAGCTTTTGACCCAGCTAACGGAGGTCTCGAGGTTCTCCCATGGGACACAGCGAATGGTACCAAGTTCCTCCTACACCTCCTGGCCGGTCACGTTAGTGCAGATCTTCTAGCAAGCGAAGCCAAGTCGGCGTACAGTTTGGCCGAAAGACTCAGTGGCCATGCGCTGGCAATTTCGAACATGAGCGGACTCATTCATCGGCGGTCCTGGACCATCTCCGAGCTTCTCGACAAATACGGAAGTAGTTTGAACTTCAAAGACGGGTTGGAGGCAGTCTGGGAAATTTCCTTCAAAAATCTGAAGCCTGACAGCGCTACTTTGCTGGCTGCCTTCAGCCACTGCGCTCCTGACAGCATTCCGCATTCGCTCTTTGACTTGAAGGAAGCCGTGGACCTCCCCGATAGCTTACTCTGGTTACTAGATGTGGATAGGTAACAACGCCCCTGTCAACTGTAAGCATTAGGGTTGCTGACAACCTGCCTGGCAGATTTGACGATGCAATGGAAGAGCTCTTGACTCTGGCACTCGTTAAGAGAGACAGAAAGTCCGGGACGTACTCCATCCATCGGCTCATCCAGACTCATTTTCTACGTTACGTGACGCCAGAGAACCGGCAAAAGTCGTTCATAGAGGCATCGCATCTAATGGAAAACGTTTTCCCAAAAAGACCCGACGGCAAGATAGCAACGATGTACAACATGTGGGAGCAATGTCAACTGTGGGTGCAGCATGTATTGCAGCTCAAGAATCGTTTCAGGCTGGAAAAGAGGCGCGATCCTGGTTTCTACGCTTGCACGAAGACCTGCGCAATGTGGGCTCAATGTGGACGGTTTGCATACTTCTATCCAGAATACCATTCATGCTAGCTGACATTTCCTCTAGATTTCTATTGGAGCAGCAAACCTTTCCCGAGCTTGAGGACCTCGTCGAGGTAGGCAAACTGGCTTTGGCAACTCTACCTGAACAGGACCCTGAGCTGTACAACCTTACCTCGCCGAAAACGCATATTGCGCAAATGTGGGCACGTCGAGGTCGTTACCGTTTGGCGATAGAAGTGATGGTGAGCGCACGCAACATGAAGTTGACGGCCCCCCAGGAAGACCACCAAAACTCGAGCTGGATGGCGAACAACATATCTTGTTTTTACTCCTGCCTAGGCGAGTATGAGACCGCTCTGGAATGGCAGGAAATCAGCAGGGTGTGCTGGGAGCAGTGGGCCAAGTCTGAGAACGTTGAATTTCATTGGCATCCGAACCAAAGATACGGCCAGGGAAGAACTTTGGCGTACATGAAGAAGTACGACGAAGCTAGAGGGCACATAGACGAGTCCCTAGAAGACATGATGACAAGCAAGCCGGTCATCTGGGGAACGGCAGGAGAGTAAGTTTCGAGGCCCCGGGAGTGAACCTAATCTCAATGGTTTCGGACAGCCCCGACTGACGTTTCGGTGTTTTGCTCAGGTGCCAGTTCTCTCGTGCTAGACTGGCCATGTTTGAAGGAGACTTCAAGCTTGCTGAGCTCTTGTTCCAGAAGGCACAGAGCATATGGCTCATGGGGAATAGTTCCAGAACGTCAGACTTCTACGCGGCTACGATCTACCGCATGGGATGTTGCGCGCTACTCGAAGGAGAAGTGGAACGAGCTGTGTAAGTCTAGTTCGGGAGAGATGAAGTAGATACCTTGCCTTTACTAACACGGCACAGGAAATTTCTCCAAGATGCGATGGCAATTACAACATTGCGAAAGGATGTCCAGGTGGGAGAGCATGTCCGCAGTCTCTACAAGCTTTCAGAGGCTCTCTATCGGATGCCTGGTCGTGAATTGGAGGCGGACCGGCTGCTCAAAGAAGCCGAGGAGCTCTACTGGAAGCGTGTCGAAAAGCCAAAAGCTGTTTCCGAGGAGGACCACGCAGAATACGAAGTACCACAAATGCATCCGCAAGAGGAAGATTACGACTCTTTGGTTTACATGTTATGGCGCTGAATATTGGAGGGAACTTTCAAAGCTCTACTGGTATTGAATCTGACTCTGGAGTTGAGAACCGAAGACACGATCAGGAATGCTGCCCTGTAACAATCATTCATTGACACTCTAAATGACTATTTCATTCCCTGCTGCCTGTGGCCTGATGGCATTCATAGCTTCGTTGGCTGGCTTGTGATGAGTAAGTAGTTCGCGGAATTGGCAAAAACCACGTCAATTGATGTAGATCAACGTGTCGCCTAGCTGGACAAAGCGAAACCATTGGTCTTAACAAGTACAAAGATTCTCAGCGTGCCTTTTCGAGGGGGCGACGGATACACGCCTAGGAGAAGTTAAGTGGCATAAGTAAGGTGAATGTAATCCTCCGCGGCTGTGTCCTTTCCCGAAGAAGGGAGGTTGGATTAGGCGAGGGGACCCATCGCGGTACCTTCAGCAAGGGGTGGACCCGCTGACTAAGGCAACAGGCGCCGTGCACGTCCACCTCCGAGCTCCATGAACATTCAACCTCTTTCCGCTTCGAGTTGCTCAACTTCACGACAAACAAATACTTGCAACGAACAGTGGATAATTGCACATTGATCGTACCTGGCTACCTCCGAATATTTCTTGTCGTCGTCCCGGATTCGAATTGGATCGATAGGCTAATTAGGGAAGGCGGTTACTGGCCTGGGAAACAGCAAACAAAGTGAACCCACCACGAGACCAGCTCCACTTCACAGCTTGCGACGAACTTCATCAACCAGAGCGCAGTATGTGCTAGCACATCCAGCTTATCTCTCGGTCATCTAAGTCATTGCATTCTCATCGATTCGACTCACGCAATTACTGGCAGGCTGCCTCTGGAGCCTCGAGGACCGTCTGAGGCGGCCATTCATCTCACTGGAGCTCTCATTCGGCTCCGGCGCATACCTCCCTACCGTCGGCTCTCTGAGCAACTCTACATCAGTCCAGAATGTCGGACCTAGTAGAATACTCGGTAGTCAACGTGTGTCGAAGCGACGGCCAGGACAATGGGGTGGGGTACTGGCCAACCCCTGCCGACACGGCTGCGAAGAACGCGAAGAAGACTGCATTGGAGAAGGTACCGAGAGCGAAACCTCAAATGATGCGGTTAGACAAAGATGACGCAAGATTTCAAGAATGGCGCATAAAGTTGGGGATCTTGTTGAAGCAAGAGCTCTCTCCCACAGGTAGGCATGCCGTCCGTGAAAAGGAAGAAGCAAGGTCACTGACACCCTTCATAGAGGGCCTCCCCTGGCTCATGCATTTTCCACGGGGCTACTGGTTGTACGAAAAATCCAAGCATCTTTGGGTTTCGGGACATCCAGTCAAGTCGAAGCTGTACAAGAGCCCGCAAGAATTTGGTCTTCATGTCCTGTGGCTCTTGTCCGGCTCAATGGACCGAACTGACTGCCGTTGCATTCACTGCAACGTTCGCGAAATGCCAAACATGGAGGACTTGACGGTATCGGATATCCCGAGACCTCTGCCAGCAGCGAATAACACTCAGCCTCCGTCTAAGATGCGCAAGATCACGCCTCAAATCCCCCCAGGCGCCGCGGCGTCCCCGATACCCGTCCCCGCGGCAGCGGCAACGCCTCCTATCGCGAAGAAGGAGACACCTGTGCCAGTGCCCACTCCAATGGTGAAGAAGGAGACTCCAGTCCCGATACCGACGATACCCTCACGCGCGGTGCCGGCGCCCGCCCCTGTGCAAGCCCCAATTCAGATACAGCCTACTATACAGCAGCAGCAACAGCAGCAACAGCAGCAGCAGCAGCACACTCCTCAGCCGAACCAGGCAACTCCTGTTCATCCGCAAGCTCAAGCCCCATCACAGGTTCCCATTCAGTCTCAAGTCCAGCAACCAGTCCAGCAGCCGATCCAACAGCAAATCCCGCAGCAACCTGCTCCAGCACCGGCCCAGGCTCAACAGCAGGTTCAACCCCAAGTACAAGCGCCGGCACAACCAGTCTATCAGCAGCCGCAGTTCCTACCTTACCCTCAGCCTTACGGCGGAATTGTAGCCCCAGCTCTGTTCCGCGTCGGAGAACTGGTTTGGTTCCAGATATCGTCGGGTTGGCGTCTGGGTATCGTGGCTGCTACAAACATTGTCAACCCTAATACCAATAAAGCCGAGCTTCAAATTCTCCCAATGTCTCACGTCAACTTCAACCAGTCGCCAATCCACACGCTGGAATCGACAACGCGCCCGTTCCTTGCATTTTCGGTGCCCAACGTCAGCATTTCAGAGCTGCAAAATAAGGCCTACGACGAGGTCAACTGGGACGCCTTCTTCCAGACAATCACTCCGGAAGACACGCATCGTCGTGAGGTTGCGCTGCTCGACTCTTCAAAGATGGCCGCCCAGAAGGTGGGTGTGTCATTCTCCGTATTCAGCCGCCTTTCCGAGACAAACGGGGGCAAGAAGATTGACTACCACGGTATCTTCCTGGGCGCCGAGCGGATCGAACTTGGCGATGTCCTCCGCGTGCGTCTTTCTGCCGATCAAGGCGTGCCTCCCGCGGCGGCGAATCTCCCCGATGCACTACTCGGCCTCCGTGAGATTTGCACCGCGCCTATCGATTCACCTGGTAACGCATTCTTTAAGGGAGATATTTACCAGCCCATCACCGGCGACACACAGCCCGTGGGTGGCATCCCCGTACCGGATGACAAACTCCCGCGCCCGCTGCGCGACGAGATTGCGTTCCGCAATAAGTTTGCCGCGAGCGATCGCTGGCGCTGCGTGCTGCTCAAACAGAACGCCGTCCTCCGCGAGCCGGACCTCAAGGGCCGATTCTACCCCACGCACAAGCTCCTGCCCCTGCTCGATGGCCAAGCTAAGGTCCTTGCTGAGGTGCAGAAAGGCATTGTGCGTGACGTGCAGCAGCGACTGAACCAGCGCATCGACACGTTCAAGACGGCGTACATTGGTCAGAAGCGGACCCGCGTCGAGACCATCGGCCCTGCCCTGCCTCCGGGCAGCGTGATCCAGTTTGAGCAATCCGTGCGTGAGGATGGTGCCTAGGCGGGACGCCTACGACGCCGTTAAGGAGAGAAGTGTCTCATTGGTGACGAAGGAGTATGAGACCGTACTTGTTAGGATAGACAGGCATCAGACAGAGCCCTGTATAGAATAGGAATACTACATAGACGCCGCCGTTGGGTTCTTGATGTGACCATCCGGTTCTCTGGAGTGTTTAGTCGACGTGAACGTGCCTTTCCATTACTTGGAAATTTTCTGTGAGCCATCCAGGCTGTATAGCTGGCTAGAGCGCATCCTCATCTCAGCCCTTAGCCAATACCCCTTGGACAACAAGCCAAGACGGATACGCCGGGCGGTAAGCCCTGCCCAGGCGGTAACATCCTCACTCCCCTCCAGAGACAATGGTCGTCAAAAAGTAAGTCGACGAGATAGGTAGGTGACACATCCAAACTAGGATCCGCAACATCCACAACATCAACCGCTAGATATCAGCTTTGGAAAAACAAGTATATCACATACACACAGACACACACATAAACGCCATCATATTAACAAGAAACAACGGCACCGTCCAATTAGCGCAGAAAACCCAGCCACACTCCATCTCTCCAGCTCCGCCACTCCCTTCTCCCAAGACGATCTTAAATAAACCTCATCCTATGAACATCGTATTATACCTACCATAATAAGCTACCCACAGATGAGGTCTGATAACATGAAGTGAGGGATGGGAATGTGACGGAGGGAGGAGAGAGAAAAAGAGAGAAGAAACGTTCCGCGGGATTTCAATCATACTAGCCAGCCAGCCAACCATCCATCAGAACCCAAACTGCCGGACGGGGCAGACGCGCAACACACACGGGGCTGACGGGTTCACTCACCACGATCACACCCACACACCCGGGCGGATAGGACCGAAGTGTTCTGAATGATTGGGAGACCAAGTGAACGCCACTTCATACCTTGACTTCACTACACACACCGACCTATATCTCTCTATAACTCTGCAACGCTATAACCGTACACGTGCAGACACGAACTCGGCCCCCAAAACCGCACGTCAGCAGAGCCTGCAACCCCCAAGTGTTAACCTGTCTTGCTGTTCCTAGGACCCTTATTCGTCCTAAACGACCTTGGCATCTAAGCACTTGATTTTTGAAGTGAACGTTCCTTCTTTTCGGCCCCTTTTCTAGAAGGGAAGCTAGAAGGAACAACTATACGGATTTACGGATTATTGGGGGTTCATGGAGGGCCGGGTCGGCTGAGGTCACCCATACACACCACTCACAAGTGTACGGAAAGATGCAACTGACAACCAACCAAACGACACATCATCTTGCAACCACAGTCAGTAAAGACCAACCAAGTCGATGGGAACCCTTCCCAAGAACCATAAAAAAAAAAAAAGGGCAAAGCCATTGTATCCATAGCTTCAAAACCTTCTCAGCGTTACTACTCCGAGGCCCCTCATCGAATTCGCCCTCACTACAACACCGCCCACCAAACCCAGCCCCCAATGGAACACCAACACCCACCTCACCCACACACACACCCCTCCATCACACCGCACCCAATGAACCCCGATTCCCGCTTCCGCCACCCCCTTTCAACCATCACCACCACCTCCCGGGCTCACGGGCTCGTGGTGCCCAGAAAAACTCAACAACACCAATAGAACCTCCATAACCGTTGCCGACCGACTTCCCGGGTTTTGAAGCAGCTTGTTGTTGTTATTATTGTACCATTAGTCGATCTGTGCTTGGAAATTGTGTAGCCCCCGTACCATGGTACCCGACAACTCAATCAGACAAAATCCCGTTGTCTGCCAACTTGCTTTTCCACGCACACACACACACACACACACGCACTGGTTCTTAACAGTTTTGGAGTTAAGACATCCACAGGTTACGTTACACTACGTGACATCGTCGGAGGAAAAAAGCACAACCGCAACGACTCAGTCTTCCGTCACCTACCACTAGAAAGAAAAAGGTCAGATGAGATTATTCTCTTAGTATAAAGACACCCTGAACATTCGGGCCGATGATACGTCTCGGACATTTCACGGCAAGGAGTCGATCACGGTCTCAATGACACGAGGGGAAAAGGGACAATAGCCTATGCGAGGCGAGTTTTGGGGTCAAAAATGCCCGTCTTTGGGTATACTTTGATAAAAAGTACTAAGTGGTAGTAGTATGAGTAAATGATGATTCGTGAGAGATGGGAAGAAGGTGACGATGAGATGAAAGGAGAATAATTCGCTTTCCGCTCGTAGGCTGGATAATCCGCCCACCCTGATTGGACCCGTCTTGTCGGTTCTGGTCCGTACGCCTATTACTGCTCTGTTCTTTGTCGCTGCAATGCAACTCCTCTGCTTCGTCCCGTCTTCCGCGATTATGGCCTGATCCACCCCCTCCTCCCAATCCAGGTGCGTCAGGGTACGTCTCCTCTCCTCTCCTCTCCCTCAATTCTTCCTTTCTTTTTAAAAACTCTTCGAAACAGGCTAGTTGTATGCAGTAGGTATAGGTCGCTTCGCTCGGCAGCAAAAGGTACTTTGTTTGGTCAAGACAATGCTGGGTCGTGATCGCGTGGTGCGTGATTGCTTTTTTTTTTTTTCATCTTCATCCCTCTGACTGGTGACCAAGACAGAGGGGTATGGCAGCGGCGGAATAAAAGGTATGAGGTGATGCAGATGATGATGGTGATGGATAGTCGTGTAGTGTCGTTGTAGTGTAAGAAAGAAAAAGATGTTGAATGCATGTGCGACTTGAACAAATCGGATGAAGGTCCTGTGTGCTGCGTAGGGATGGAGGTTGACTAGTAAATGCCGTAGGCTCGCTAGGAGACCATCCACCACTCTGCCATATCCAAGCGCCTTCAATCCAACTCAATCAGGCCCGACGGTGTAAAAAGTCATGGCTGGCTGTGTCATTACTTGAGTTTTAGACTCTCGATCTTGGCCTGTATGCTCTTGAGTATCTCTGGGTCGGGCTCAGGTTCGACCTTGCGTGGCTTCAGACGAGAACAGTCGACACACTTCTCATGCTGACATTTCTTGCATGCGGTTCCGTCGGCCACACCTCCAGGGTATATCGTCTTGCATTTGTGGCATTCGTGGTGCGGCACAGCATTCGGACCAAATTCGTCGCCAGGGTAACCAAAGGGATACTTGTCCTTCTTGGGCCTGAAATAATGTTAGCTGTCAGTCTCGACACACAGCAGAATGGCGCAACATACGGGTCTCTGGGACAGTCGGTGCAGCGGTTGTGGTTGCACTTGGAGCATGTCTTGCTGCCGGCAGTGAAGAGCGTCTGGCACTCGTGGCAAGTTCTCCTGACCCTCTGGCGCGGCTTCTTGTAAATGAGATCCTGTCCTCCAGTCTTGCTGGGACGCTTGAGGACGGTGTCCTTTGCGTTCTTGGCGTCATAGGAGTAGTCGGGAACGATGGGCGCGTTCTCCTTCTGGGCCTTGAGAATGGCGGCCCGCTTCTCCCGGCTGGCGATGCGCTCGGCCTCGGTCCGCTTGGGTGGGTGGCGGACGCACTTGGTGCAACGAACGTGCTGGCAGCTCGGACACTCTTTGGCGGCAGCAAAAGTAGCATTGCACTTGTGGCAGGTTCGGTGGACGCGCATGCGGATGGGCTTCTCGACGCGGAGAGCGGTGCCTTCGGTAGAGATCCACTCGCTCTGCTTGATCTCGAGACCGAATCTCTCGCCCAACTTCCTGGCGCGCTCCTCAAAGAGCTCGGATCGGGGAACCCTGGTGACGCCCTCGAGGTCCTCGTACTTGCTCTTAGGGGCCTCCTTCTTGGTGGTGTCCTTGGCGGTGGTAGCGGCGGCGGGTTGCTCGGTCGCGGGGGCGGTGGAGGGACTGTATGCACGTTAGACAGGTAACGCAGGCAGGGTGCCGTGACACCAGAAACTGTTGAAAGACAACAGGGCATGCGAAATGTCTTGCTTACCCAGGAGTGGTAGCGGCTTGCGCAGAAGACTGCTGACCAGTGGTGGACAGCGTCGACATGCGCTTGGAGCTATCGCCTCTCTTGAACACAGTCTTGGCGCGAGACAGAATCTTGCCCAAGCCCTTCTTCTCCTTCGGGACCGAAGGCCCGGCCTGTGCTGGCGAACTCATGTTTGGCGATGTTGTTGTAGGTTGGTGTTGAAGTCGGATCGATTTCGAAAACGTGGGATCCCTGGGTCAATTGTGGGCTGCTCTGGGGACAGATGATGGGATCTGCAGTGCACTAAAATCCAATCGAGCAGGACTAGGATTGCTGTTTAGATGAGTTTGCGAGAGGAACAGTTGTTTTGACAAGAACGAGAAATCGGATTGTCGTTTTGTACAAATCGAGTGTACGGGTGGCGTGCGTGGGGGTGTAATGCGAAGATGGGCGGGAGAAATGGTGCTGTGTGGTTGGGTTATGTTGGTTGGTGCACTCTTAGACAGATGGGACTAGGGACCGGAGGCGATTAACGGGGCGTCGATCGTCGGCGGTTACAGCGAGTCGAGATGTGAGTGCTGGCGAAAGCAAGTTCCTTCGCAAGACGGTGGTGTTTGTTCTCTTCTTGCCGTGACCTTTTGGGACGGGCGAGAGAGAGAGCAAAAGTCGGATCACGAACGAACTGTTTTAGTCGTTCGGGATGAGTCGGCCTGGGAGAGAGGGTGTGGTGTAAGAAGGGGGAAGACGAGGAAGAAGAAGGACGGGAAAGCTGGGTAAGTTGACGGGGAGGAGGTGGTTGAAAGGAAGTGTGGAAAAAAGTGGGAAAACAAGGTGCAGCGTGCTAAGAGGCAAGGTTGAGGGAGACTAGAGTCGAGAAGGGCTAGTGCTGGGTGGAAAGGCAGGTGCCAGGCGGCTTGGGTTGGACTTCCTTGGCGACTTCCATTTGACTGAGAGTCCAGAAGCCACCACCCCCAAGTCTTCCAGTCTCTATTCGTACACTACGGATACCTCCTCAATTCCTTTTGCAACCTTACCTTACCTACTACCTTAGTTTACTGTGTCAATGTGTACCTGGGCCTCTCTCTCTCTCTCTCTCATTACCGATGGCTCTGCCTCTTTCTTCTCTTGCAGGTTGCGTCTTGTGTGTCGGGTTGCAGCTCCACGATACCACGGCCAATCCAATCCATTCACCAACGCCAATGCCAGTTCGGTCCCAGACTTTGCAGTCGTCCATCATCCACCCCCGGTGCACCGCACCACACGTTCATGTTCACGCCCCATGCTCTATGCCCGGTCGGTCGATTTGGCAACTTATTGCAAGTTGCAGCAGCGTATCTGTATCCGTATCAAGAGGAAGTTCTGTCTAGGTGTGTACGCATACTAGGCCCAGGTGCAGCAGCAGCAGCAGCAGCAGCAGCACAGCGTACGGATACGCAATGCAGACACAACAGAGGCGTGGGCAGCAAGAAAGAGACCGGGCAAGGCCGCAAGAGACAGAGCCCAGGGCACGACAAAAAGACCAGACGGCGGCCAAACCAAACATGGACTCCAATGCAGTGGTAACACTAAAAACCCACCTCGCTGGGAAACTGGTGACTGGTCACAGCACGGTGGCTCCCATGGCTCCTCGTCGAGTGGAACTGTGGAATGGCCCCATGCCGGAGACGATATCCACAAATGGGGCGGGTCCCCCTCCTGCTGCTGCTAAAGTGTTTGAGAGGTACGTACCTTACCGTACCGGAGGGAAGGACACACCAGAATTGCGACAGACACCCGACAGCCCAGAGACACATTCCAGCCAGCCAGCACCAAGCATACCAAGCGTCAGCACAGGCGCTGGGACACTTGGGACCGGGGGGTGTGTGGACTATGGACTACGAAGTATATATAGACTGTGGACGGGGTGGTCGTGGCGGGTGGGGAGGAGAACGATACGTACCGCCAGAAACCTATCCCAGCAATCCACAATCCACGATCCACCTCAGGTTCTCTTGGGAAGTTGGGTTGGACGACGAGGACGGGAGACGAGGGAGGGGCGGCGAGTGGGCGTGTTGGAAGACACAACGACGACGAACACATACGGAGTACCCTCCCGGTCTCTGCGCTCACCTCTCACCTCTGTGAATGTGAGGTGGTCACTGGTGAAAAAAGGTGAACCATCGGCTGGCACACAAGGGTGGAGAAGGCGAGGCCCAGAGAAGCGGGGGGTCCTGGTACCTTCCAATTGGGAAGAATGTCCGAGCTTTTCTGGTTTCTGCGATGTTGCGGTTCCCAACTTCCCAGAACTCCCAGTCCTCCCCGTTCTCCCAGAGCTGCGAATCTCTGGCACTGGGAGAGCGGGGGGCCTTTCACAAACCGTGTTCCAAAAGTGGGGTCAGAATCAAAACCCTGGCAACCCTGTCCAGCACGACCAAGTCGCAGATATCCCTGTCCCAGTTGAAAGGCACGACCTCCACTGGGACTGTGGGAATTGGTAAAAGTGTGGATCCACATGCCCGGGGATTCGCACGGAGCTGGTTCTGGAATATGTCCGGAGCTTAGCCCATCGGGAAGGAAGGGGGGTCTCCCTTGTCCAAAGTATCTCTCTCCCTGGGAGCCGAGGAACCCAAAGAACCCAAACTTCTTGGAGGTGTGTGTTCGTTCCTGAGTCTGACATCCGTGATACACGTCTTAGCTGAGACCCCCCCCCCTTCCCATCGTACATCGTACTTTTGCCAACTTGCAGCAGCAGGAAGCAAGATGTGCAGAGTCTGGAACCGCTGATTGCATTGCATGTGAGGCTCAGAGACAACTCAGGCACACAGGGAGAGACTTGAAGGATAACGACTCTGTCGAAAGCCTCGTGCTTGCTTCCGCGGAGAAAGGAACAGAAACACATAACGCCTCACACGCCTCATACAAACAAAAACACCACCATCACAAGTCCCCCATATCGTCGGGTGCGCTAACTTTGGAGGTAGAGGCTCGGCACGGGCATAGGCTACCTATGATGTCCTCTGTGCCTCTCTAACTAAAGCAGCTACGCAGCCACGCCCCCAGGTCGTGGTCGCGCCCAGATTCGAAAGAAAACTTGAGAAGGGCGGTAAGCGATCAGCTAGCCTCGAAAGATAGCGCGCGCCATTGCTCATATTCAGGCGTTCCGTAGCGTCGCCATCTTTCCCACCTAGAAGACCGCCCTCCGAGTAAACAACTTTGTGGCTGATGCAAAAGTACCCTACCAAGCCAACTAAGCCCTGGACTACTATAGCCAAACCTACGAATAGGATATGGTATTGTTGGACGTAATTAAAACTCGAGAGTCTCCAACTTCCTTGCTATGTGACTATTAGTATTCAGCCTTCCCGTCCCCCCTCCACTTCTTAGCATTCCAGCCGCCGGGCCTGTGGACTTTGTCTCACTGATCGCTTAGATTCGGACAGGAAAGGGCGGTAAGGCCAGACTCAGGAGAAGGGAAATAGCCAAGGAAGGAACGGGCGTACGGGACCCAGGAGAGAGGGAATGCAAAGACGGGGTTTCGTGTTTGTTGGGCTGGTGTTGAAGAAAAAGCCGGCAACCAGAACCTCGGATTAAAAAAACGTCGAAAACGGTTCGTCAATTGGCTGACACTTTTTTTTTCTTTTTCGTAAGCGATGTTTGGTACCTCACCATCCGAGATATCATTTTGCGGGCTGGGAAATCTAGATCGACTCGGTGCAATCAGAGGGAAAAGGGGAGAAGCAGAAAAAAGAAACTTACCTTACAGAGTACGGATTGACAACTACGGGTTGTATTACCGACCTAGTCCCAACCTGCGGTATGTTGTGCACCACCATTCACGTACCTATCGTTCGAACGGGACGGGGGGGCATCTTGATAGCAAGCCGGACCCGAAATGGATTAGCGGACGGGTCTCTTCCTTTCCCTTCTTTTTTACCTTCCCGCACCGGGTCGCGGATATAAGTGTAATCTTTCTGGGCGGGCTAGCCCAGATTGATGCAAAAAAGGACGCTTTCCCCGGCGCCCCGTCGTCGGTCTCATCTCCCATCCTGTGGCAGAAAGGGCTCGTGGGTTGTGTTGTTCATTGGAAGTACGGATATGAACCGAGGAAACCTCCACCTACTCCGTCTTCTCATCCGAGCTATTCGCGACATCTGTTTCCCCAGCTCTACGTACACTACGTACCTTTGCCCCTCCCCTCTCTTTCCCTTTTGACGCCAGGCCAATGAAACGAGATGTTCGGACCTAGCGTCCCAAAAGAGGAACACACCGTACCTACCTGTTCGTACATGCATTCATCATGAGGAAGGGGGGAAGGCCAAGCGCGTGGTCCAGCGATCAAACGTTCAGGTACGGATGGGCACGCCTTCTTTTTCGAGGAGAGGCTAAATGCGGGTGGTTGCACCTTGTTCATCTAAATGTGCATCTATCGTACCTTATCATCATCTCAGTCTCCTGCTTTGCTTCAGTACGCGCGCCAAAGGCTGACATGATTGATGGCCGAGCATCTGAGGGGTTCTCGATTGGAGAAGAATTGCTAAGGATACGTACTTCATTCACCATGTAATGAGACGGTTTTGTTCTGCACTGAGCAATACTCCGTATATTCTCCGTCCCTTGCTGATCAAGTGCTCTTTAGAGTCCAGACTTTTACAACATGGTCCGTCTCTTCCACCCAAACAACTCTCTATTAAGTTATTAGTGAGGTTCACTCGCGCCGCGATGTGACTTCCAAACCGTTAGGCCTCTCCCTCGCCCCATTCCAATCCCAATCACCCCCCCGGTCGGATGTTATTCCTATCCATAAACCGACGACGATCCCAGCAATTCATCCCCGACGAGACCCAGGATCAAAAAATCCGTCAAAGGGGAACATCCACGTTCCACAATCCCGAGAAGGAGGTGTAGGTTGGAAGCAATGATGAGGCGAAGCAGCAAGGTAAGGGTTAGGTGAGAAAGGAGAGAGGGATTGAACTTCCGTTACCAACAGGAAGGATTCGCGAATCCATGCTGCCAAAGCCCGGCAAACTAGCCAGCTTGCTGTTCGCTCTTGTGTTTGTTCGTCAGATGTCTCCTCTTTACCGCTCCTTTATTTTTCTTCGTTGTCAGCACGTGTCAGATATGAGTCGATCTGGGGGTGCGTGTGTGGTGGTGTCCCAACGAGCGGGCAGTCTCACGAGCCCGCATACCGGGGGGGTTTTCCCCTTGCTCATGGCAAAGCCCATTTGCGTCTTGATTCTTCTTCTAGCGGTTGGATTGTTTGCTTATTCTTTTCTCTGAAATGCTGTCTCACTCTCGTCACAGTTGTTTTGCTGTCTCTGAACACTAAGGTATCCGTAATAACCCCGTTTGCCTACTGTAGTGTACTCCGTACGGATACCGATAGACTGTCCCACGTATCTGGGTGCCCTGCACTAGCCACTTTCTCATGCGTTGGTCGGTGGTCCTTTGGGGTTTCTCGGCGCCGGAACGGGGATTGCACTGTTGGATCTTGGACGGGCCGGTGTGGATTTCACGTTTGGGCGGATTATGGATAGGACAGGGATGACGGGGAGCCTGGGATTCGGTAAGGACCACTATTTCCAAAGCTCCCAGTGTGAGGCGGAGGTGTCTGTTTTTTTACCATTTTGTTAGGTTTTCATTTACTACGGAGTAACACTGTTCATACTGTATCTCACTCTCGAGATTCATCATTCGCCGCGGGACACGGGACACGCTCTCTGGGCGCATCGAGGTCCAGGCGCCTGCGGAGACGAGAGACGAACTCGAGATTTCCCGTGGGCCATCAGAGATTCCGAGCCCAAGCACCGGGGCGAGGCAAGCGCACTGCACATTTCGTCCCGTCTTCTCCAGCACAAACCAAACATGAGTAGTCGCGGGATTATGTAAGGAGCGATCTGGACCGACCCGTATCCCCGGGCGGGGCGTACACGGAGTACCTAGGGGTACCTTAAGGTAAGGCCTGGGTCCAAGCCCGTGGAAACAGCACTGAAAGGACCGACTTCCCGAAACTGTCTGTCCCTTCCTCGCCAGATGCCCCCAGCCTCCTGGGCCTGCCTGCCCACCTCACGATGTATGGGGCAGGAGCCAGAGTGCGAAGGCAGGAGCAGGAGCAAGAACAGAGACACTGGCAACTGCCAGCATTGGTAAGAACCATGAGCAGTAAGCAAGGTAGAAGGAGCTACGGACGGTTGAATTGATGAATCACAGCCGGGCCCCTGCGGGTACTGCATTGCCTCCCAGGGCGTGTGGAAGGCATCGTTCGTTTCCAGGTTGTCCAGCCTGATGCTCCCGTCAAATTCCAAACTCCTTTCGACTTCCAAGTGCCAGCCTCCAACTCCTCGAAAGGCCTTCTCTTTTGGGCGGCATCCACGCGAAAATAGGTGGTCTGCTCTCCTCCCCACTCTCATCTTACGGCCGCAATCAC